TTTTTTTATTATTCTTGTTATATTTTATTTCCTTTTTCTTTGCATTATTTATATCGTTATTTAAACGATTTATGCAAATATTTCCACTTAAATTTTCACTTTGTTCATTTTCATTATTTATTTGCATATCTTCACTTATATTATTTTCCTTTGTTCTTTTTTCATTTAACAATCCTAAATTATCACTATTATTATTTTCTCCAATATTTTTTTCATTTACACCTATTAAATTATCAATATTTAAATTATGTTCTCTTTTTAAATTTAAAGATATTTCATTTGAGGATTTACTTTTTTCTATTTCATGCTTATTTTTATTATTTATTAAATCATTTTCTATTTTACTAAAATTTTCTTTTTCTTTTTCATTCAAATCTACTTTATCTAATTTTTCTTCATTTACATTTTCTATAATATTGTCTGACTGTATATATTGTTCAATTTTATTTTTCTTATTATCATGTGTTTTTATTTCCTTTTCCTTTTTTTCCTCTTTTATTTCTTCCTTTTTTTTTATATCTTCTTCATTTTCACCTTCATTCTCTTGGCCTTTTTTCAATTTTTCTTTTTTTTTCTCTTCTTCATTTTCTTCATCATATTCATCATCACTATTCATATATTCTTCACAAAAATCTAATAAATCAGAGAAAAATATACTATCCTCTTTTTCTTGTATTTTTTTTGATTCTTCTGTTAATTTTTTAATCGCTGAATTGATAGTCATTGGTGTCCAATTATTAGTATAAATAATTTTATTTGGAACGATATTCTGTTCTTTAAATGTATTTAAAATTGAAAAAATGTTTTCAAAATCATTATATCTAAAAATTTGAAAATCTAATAAAATATTTTTTAATAATAAAACAACGAACTCTGTACAATTAAAACATTTTTCTTCAATGAGTTCTCTTTCGAGATATTGTTTGTATTTTTCTATATCAACTAGGTTATACCTAATTAGACCAGATATAACATTTACATTGTATTTATATAAGTCTTCATTATTTTTTTTATTCATTTCATCTTTGCTTTCATTATTTGTATCCGAATTATTATTCAAGCAAGTATTTTTTACTACGTTATTTATTTCATCTTTCGATTCGTTATTTATTTCGTTTTCTTTAGGAGATTCATTCATATTTAAAAATGATGTATTTCTATTTTCTGTATTATTCTTATTTGATGAATAAATATTATTAGGCATTATAAAATTAGATATGTGTTTTTTTAATAATGGACATTTTTTTTTTAATTTTTCTAGTATACATAAAAATACCTCCAAATAAATACCTGCAGGATCATTTAATCTATAGTTTAATTGTGTCTTACTGTTGTATGGAGTAATTTCAAAAAGAAATTTATATATTTTGTTTGAATAAGATATAATAGTTTCATTTTTATGATGTGTTAAAGCAGCTATTTCTGGTATAGATTTAATTAAATTAAATATATTTCCATCCACTGATAAACTATATAAAATATAAAGACTCATTTTACTAATATTGCAATAACTTTTTTCTTTATTTAAATTAAATAACATTGGAGGTAACATAATAATATCTTTAATAGCTTCTTTTAATTGACCTGTTGCAAGTTCTAATTTTTTCAGAACTTTATGAAACTGAACATTAGATGCTGATGGAATTGAAAGGGGTATATTTGATTGTGTATTATTTTCATTTATATTTGCTTTTGAAGCAAAACTTTGTTGATTTTTTATATTATTATTCATATTATAATCTACATTGTTCACCTTGTTTATTTTTATATCGCTTTTTGAAATATTATTTTGCTGTTCATTTAAATGTGCTTGAGACATATTTTTCGAATATGCGATTTTCTCTTGATTATTTTGCAAATTTTCTTTTGAAAATGAAACATTTCCTTGAAAATTTTGATGTTGATTCTCTGTATTATTTTCATTAACATTTTTATAAATAAGCGATAAAGCTTTAGCAGCAGCATGCAACTTTTTTAATGGAGCTATATTTAAAAAATCTTTATATATCTGCAATTGATGATTTGTTATTGGAGAATCTAACTTTAAAACTTCAGCAAATTCCATTTGTATCTTTTTTGTGTTAATAGCATAAGAAGAATCATTAAATGTTATGCTATTTTCACTTGCTACTTGTCTAGCTAAAAATGAAGGTGCTAACGCTTCATTTATATCTTTTATAGCTTTTTCAATAACTGCCTGTTCGATTAAATTACAACCTAATTCTAAATTATCTGCACTCAAAATTTGAACTACTTGCTCAATTAAAACCTGGTCATTGCAATCTTTTGTACTAGTTGGTTGTAACAGTTGCCTTAAATGTTGAGTTAGAGATATTCGCAAAGGTTCTTTGCAGGTAGCTAAGGCTAATGAACCTGCTAAAGAAGCAATCATAATATGAGATGCTTTACGAATTAAATTTTCGTCTTTTTCTAAGCAAAAATCCTTGAATATAATTTCTCTAGTGGTAACACATGATATTGCTACTGATCTCTCAAGTATAGCAGAAATTATTTCCCTAATTGCTCTATCAACCGCTATAGGAACTACTTTCTTTAAACTTGGCTGAATTTGAAATAAGGCTATTGAAGGAGATATTATTACTGCATTATTTAAACTTTGCAGAAACTTACTATTGTTTATTTTATTATTAGAAATATTATCATTAGAAAAATCAGACACCTTCAAATTATTAGTATTTAAATCATTCATTATATTTGGATTTTTATTTAAATTGTTGACTGATTTTTTTGTAAAATGAGAATTAATTAAATTTAAATCTGGAGGTGAAAAAGATGAAACTAATGTTGTATCATTCATAAGAGGATCAATTCTATTAGCATTATTTTGATTCCATTGAGATGCTATATTTTTTAAATTTATATTTTGCTGATTGTTTTGATTCATTTGTTGAATTTTATCTGTATTCATTCTATTATTTGTTAATAAATTTTTTCCTGCGTTTTCTAATTCCTCTAATTTAAAATTTTCATTCAAATTTTCTTCTCTATGTAAGCTATTAATATTTGTTATATTATCTTTTAAAGAGATATTTTTTATTTCAGTATTTATTGATGAAATGTTATTATTTCTTGATATTACAAAATCATTTTTTTTATTGTATGGTATTCTTTTACTTAGTAATGCTGTTTTATTTTGATAATCTTGTATATTAATTGATAAATTTTTAAATAATACTTCTACTTCAAATATTATGTATGTTTTAACATTTGGTAATTCATGTATTTCAGTTAATAAACATAAGACAGTTGTTGTCCATGGATTAGGTGGTTTAAAGTTTTTTGAAAGTTTTACTGACTCTAAGATTTTGCATACCATTGGCAAAATACAAACTAAACAACCTTTCTCATATGCTTCAAATAATACTAATTTTAAATCTAATATTTTTGATTTTAGAGGTCTATTTCTTCCCAATGTTATATATCCCAACCAAGAACCCAAATTTTTTAAAACAGTTCTAAAAGCACTAACTTCTTTTAATTCGTTTATATACTTAAATAATATAAGTATACAATCATATGTCATATTTATTATAGTATCTATAAATAATGGGTAGCTTAATTTATCAATAAACTCTAAGAATAAGTTATGTAGGTTTACTTCTTTTGATGCTCTAGACTTTACTATGTAAAATGCAAGCCAACTATAATATTCTGGCTGCATTACATTTTTTAAAATTTTCACCTTTTCATCAATATTAAATAAACATAAAGTGTTAAAAATACTATATACTTCCCCTACTATAAAGGAAGAAGGCACAATTATATTTTTTGTAAAATCTGTTCCATCCATTAAGCATTCAATTTGTCCTAAACCAAACCCACTTATATTGCTTAAATTTAAATGAGATGGTAAGCTTTTTTGAGGTTGATCATAGAAGCTTCCAATTATACCATATAACTGTTCTTTTTCCTTAAAGGAATTATTATTGTCTTCATTATCTTCACATTTGATATTTTCATTAATGTTTACTTTAACTGGATTATCTATAAAATTTGTTATATTTGTATCTACTATATTTTCATTTAAACAAGAACTATTTCTTGAATTTATCTCTCTACTAACATTCGAATTGTTTCCTACTATATTTATGTTTCTATTTCTATTAAGTTGATTACTCTCATTTAAGGTTAAAAAGGACCTATTTAAATATAACTGATTTGTACTACTAGTATTATTAGACTTATCGTTATTTAAAATGTTTATATTCAATTGATTATTTAAATTATTTATTGATGAAAAGTTGTTTAAATTTAAATTATTATTTAAGTTGTCATTCACATTGTTATTTTTAAAGATGTTATCATTTCTATTTATGGATGAAATATCATTAACATTATGGATAGATTGCTCTTTATTTGTGCAATTTGGTAAAATATCATTGATATATAATAATAAATTATCATTATTTATATTATTGTTATTACAACCGTTATTTAGTAAATTACCTAAAGCATTAGATAAATTGTTATTGTTATTATTGTTATTACTGCTACAACTACTACCCCTGCTAAAATCATTATTATTAACATTACCAATGCTACTAGTATTATTATTTCTATTTTTGTTAAAATTTAGCATTAAATTGTTCACATTTTTTAAATTGTTGTTTAAATCACTGTTTAACAATTGTGATATATTAATATTTGAAGAGTTATTTGTACTCATTTCAGAAAAATGTTTGATTTTTAATATGGTAGACGAATCTATATATGGTAAGTTTCTCATGTGTTCAGGAAGCGAGTTTAGTAAATTTCTGCAGTGAATTATATATTGGGCATTATATTGCCTTAAATTAGGTATAGATATTAAGGATGATAAAAAACTAGGATAACATATTAGTGAATCTTCAAATTGTTCTAATGCAGTTATTCCAAAATTAAACATTTTAGAATCTTTTCCTTTTTTTAATGCTTCTAATATACATTTTAATGCTACAGCTAATGTATTACCATACGATATTAATAAATTATGTTTAATTAATTTTCCAAACAATTGAGCTGTCACATCTAATTCTTCAACAGGGTATTTTGGAAAAAATCTACACTCATTAAATAGAATAAGCAACATTGATTTATATACTTCATTATTTTTTGATCCTTTAGGGGAGTAGGATAAATTTTTCATAATATCCAGCATTGTATTCACTGTAATTTCCCCAGTATATAATTTTGCAAAATAACCATTCACTTCAACTTCATGTTTGTTAAGAGCTGCTTCATCCACCTGAACATTTATGTTAAAGTTGTTATTCATTTTCTACCACATGATTTATTTTACTTATATGTTTTATATAATAATTCCTTTTTTTTTTTTTTTTCTTTTTATATGCTTATTTTTATTTTTTTTATTTTTTTATTTTTTTTTTTTTTTTTTTGCTTTATTTAATAATTTATTAAATTTTTAAAATAAACTATGCTATATAAAAATTGTATAATGATGTTTAAATACTATAAACATCAAATAAAAAAAAATATATCAATAAATTTTCATATTTTTTTAATTTAATAAATTTTTTTTTTATATGAAAAATCTTTTTTTTCTATAAAATTTTTTTTTTTTTTTGACCACATTTTTTTATATACTAAAAATATGATATCTTTTTTTTTTTTGAAGTGCATGTGAATCACTAAATTACTTAGGATACGCATACAAATATCTTCAACTTTACATTTATCACACAATACAATCCAAAAGATACGTATATGATAATAAGAAGAAATAATTTAATCAATATTTTATTTTTATATATATTTTTTTACATTATCTTTAGCTTTTTACTTTAATTTACATTTACATATACATATACATTTATATATATATATATATAAATGTATATGTTTACGTATATATATATATAAATATATAAATGTATATGTTTATGTATATATATATATATATATATATATATGTATATATAAATATGTATATATAATATATATATTTTTTTACTTTTCTTTTTTTGTAATGTTTCACTTTTTTTTTCTTTATTTTTCTTTCTATATATATAACACTACTTTTTTATTTTATAAACTTGTATTATTTAAAATTTTTTTTCTAAAATTTAAAAATTTAAACTTCAAAATTGTTTTAATTAACAAAATTATAAATATTTAAATTTATTAATTATAAGTTTTTTATTATTTTTTTTTAAGTCAGATTGATATTTTTAAATTAATTTAATCGTAAAGGTGTTTAAACACGTTTCAATCATCTTATTTTTCCTTTATTTTTTCCTATTTTTTTTTTTTTTTACATTATTACGTTCCTTTTTATTTGCATTTTTTACAAGGATTTATTTCTTAAAATATTTACGTGTGCATTTTATTTAATTATTCATTTTGCACAACGAAGGATGTAATAAAATGAAAAAAAAGAAAAAAACAAATATATCCTTTCTTTATTCTATTAATTTTGCAATATAAATTTACGAAAATATAAAAACTATATTTATAAAAACGCGTATTCACAAGCGTGCTATATTATTCTTGAATCATAAAAAAAAAAAATATTTAACAATAATATAAATAGTTAGGTCTCAATTTTTTTTATAGATCAAATATTTTATTTTAATAAGTAACAATATTCTTTTTTTTTTTTTTTTTTTTTTTTTAAGTCCCACAGTTTACATTTAAGCTCATTCCTACAAAGTACTAATTTTATGTTTTGTAAAAAAACATTAACAGAAATAATTTTAACAATTGTATATATCTAACCATATGTCACTTAAGAACTTTTATATTTTCTTTTATGTGTATTTATATATGTAGGAAGACAGATATATAATGTTAATATTATGAATATAAAATATATTAATAAAAAAAAAAAAAATATATTTAGGATTTTTTTATTTTTCATGAGTGCTTATATAATTTTCTAAAATTTTTTTTTTTATTTCTTTTATACAATGTTATATTTTATTTTTTCTTTCATTTAATATTTGGAGGTTTAATAAAAAAATGTATAAATTAAATATGTAAGAAAAATAAAAAATTTTTTATTTTTAGATCCATACATATTTTACAAGATACCTTTTTTTTTTTTTTTTTTTTTTTGGAAATTATATAAATAAAATTAAAGAACAATGATTTTTTAGTTAAAGTTTTTTTATTTTTTTATTTAAATAAAATATTAGAAAAAAAGATATATTAATTTTATATTATTTTAAATAAATATAGTGAATCATAAAAGATTTAGATTTTGTAATCTCTTCAAATATCAATAAAGTAATAATTTATAACCTTTTTTTTTTTTTTGATTAAATAAATTATGAAAATTAAAGAATACATTATATAAACATGAGAAATATTTAGTTAAAGTAAATAAATTGATTAAAAAATTAAGCATTACAAATATTACATCTAAGAAAAACTTGATAACAAAAAAAAAAAAAAAAAAAAAAAAAAAAAACCCCTTTTCAAAAAAAGAAATTTACAATTTCATATAAATAAATATAAAAATTTAAAAGAAAAAGGAAAAAATTAAACATAACTTGAGCACTTTTGAATGTATAAAAATTTATAAATGTGTTCTATTAGAAAAAAAGAAAAAAATATAAGTGTTTTTTTTTTTTTTTTTTTTTTTTTTTTTTTTTGTCTAATTTCATTATTCAATATGTTTTCTAGTGAAAATTTATTTTTTTATATAAATTTTCAACTAATAACATATACAAGTATATATATATATATATATAAATTTTTTAAAATATTATCAATAATTTTTTATAGAAAAAATTTGCTCTTCTGTTAGTCAATAAAATATGAAAAAAAAAAAAAATATACATTTTAAAATAATAATCAAATAAAATATTAATAATGTTTTTGTGTATTTTTTTAATAGTAGAAAAAATAAAATTAAAAAAAAAGTAATTGAATAAAATTGATATTTTTAAGTACAAATAATGAAAATTAAAAATTCTATGTATCTTTAATTTGTAATTCCTCCTTTCTTAATTTTTTTAAATATTTAGGATTTTTTTTTAAAAAGTTTTCTCTTGCCAATTTTCCAAATTCTCCTTTAGCAATTTTGTATTCTGTTCTTGTAAAATTGTGATAGACACCGAAACCAAAAATTTTAGAAGTACAATAAGAAGGTGTTTTTAAAGTTGCATAATAAGGATACGTTTGTAACAATATGTGTGGAAATGATGTACCAAAAAAGGAACCATCTAAATATACTTTATCTTCATCATGTATTTTATAAATTTCTTGACATAAAGGACAATAAATATGAACTTTTGCAATTTTAATTTGATCAAATAATCCGATGGGCAAAACATTATGTTGAGAGCAGCTAACTCTTGGGCAACTTCCGAAATCTCCCTTAATATACTTATCTTTCATTAATGATAATCCTTTTGGTGTAGTAATATATCTTGCATGAATTAATGAATATAAACATACTGCATCTTTTGCATAACTACTTTTAGAATCTTCTTCATCTGGTGCATCTCCTGCAATAATAGACAATAAATGATTAAAATTTGGAATTTCTGATTTTAATCCATATAAATTAAAAGAGTCTGTTAAATATTCATGATCTACTTCAACTAAAAAATTACTAAGTGCTCTACTATTAAACCACTTAACCCATGATGTACTTTTATCAGATTTCGAATCTTGTAAATCCTTATTAGAATCGCTATTATTCATTTTTTTTTTTTTCTATATAATTTTTTATTACTTTCTATCTGTATGTATATATTTATTAAAAAAGTGATTTATTATTTTTTTTTTTTTTATAATTTATTTTAATATTTATATAAATTTATTACTATGTTTACAATATTACTCTTTATAGTTTTAACAAATCTTAATTAATAGTCACTTAAATCTTATTGTGTTTCTACAAAACTTTATCTATATATATATCATGCTTTTTTTCTTTTTAATATATCTACATATGTTTTTCTAATGTATTTTCAAATCCTTAATAAAAATTTCTTAAAATTATTCTAATGATATTATAGGGGCTATTTATCTAAAGCTTATTTATTTTCAAATGATATAATATTAACATTTATTTCTCATAATAAATTTTTTTATTTATTTAATTTTTCTTTTTTTTATTTAAAATAATTTAAAAAAAAATTTTATAAAAAAAATTTACAATCATATGTAAATTTATAAGAAAAAAAAAAAAAAAAAAAAAAATTGTACATATAAATATATGCATTTAGTATATGGAAAATTATAAATTTATTATATCCATTAATATGAATTAATATGAAAGATATAAATATTTTTTATGTTTTTTTGTCGTTAAAATTAATTTGATCTTAATAAAAAAAAAAAAAAAAAAAATGAAATTTTATAATAAAAGTAAGCAAAAATTAAAAAATTCTTATATATTTTATTCTATCATTTGACTTTTTTTTTTTTAAATAAAAAGTTTTAATAAGAATATAAAAAGGTTCATATAATAATAATAAAAAAAAAAAAAATTTTAAATATTATTAATTTTTTTCAATATAGAATGTTAATTATATAACTTTAAATTTAGTGATATTAAAAAAAAAAAAATAGCAATAATTAATTTTTAAGAATTGAATTATTTTATTCTTATATATTATAAAAAATGGAAAACTATCATTATTTATGTACATAAGAATAAAAAAAAAAAAGAGTAAAGAATGAAAAGTCATACTAAATAAATATAATAAGAAAAATTTAATTAGAAATTTGTGCACTTTTTTATTACAAGAATTATTATATTTTGGAATGAAAGATGAAATCCTTAAGAAAAAATAAAAAGATTTAAGCAAATTATTTTGGTTAAAAAAATTGAAGCCTTTTTATATAAATATAAGGAATAATATAAAAATGTTTTAATAGGAAGTTGTATTAAATTATAAAAAGGTGATATATAAAATTATTTCAAAGAGATATAATAAGGTAAATTCAGAATATACCCTTCTTATGGAATAAGAATTTTTTTTTTGTTGCAAAAGTTTTTTTAATATATATATATATATATATATATATATATATATATATATATATAATTTCTAAGTTATATATTTGTATTTTTATTCTTTTTGTTTCTATAAACAATTTTAATTATAAAATTGAATTCCAAAAATTTTGATATTATAATATTATGTTCACGAAAATATTTTAATATTAGAAAATTGTACCTTTAAAAAATATTCAAACGAAAAAAATAATGATACAAGTTTTTTCTCATTAAGTAGTTTGTACTTTTAGCACAAAAATATATAAAACATAAATTATTTAAAATACAGAGTTAAAAAACAAAGAAAACACCAAACTTATTAATGCATCATAAAAAGTAAATATTTATGTAAATGTTTTAAGTTAAAGAGGAAAAAGAAATTAATATTTTATAAAAAAAATTAGCTTTATGAGACAGTTGTATGAATATTAAAAAAAAAAAAAAAAAAATTAAAAGAGTTATTATAATATGAAAAAATTTTCAAAAGATATTGTATAAATTTATAAGTATTTTCATAAAAATTGAAAAATTATTGAAAATAATTTTAAAATAATACATATAAATTATATATATTTTACTAAAATATTTACATATTCTACTTTTTTCTTTTTTTTTTTAAACACATTTCTTGTCAACAATATTTTTTACTCCATACTCTTCATATTCATTTTTTGTCATACAAAATTGAGAAAAAGAACCTAATGATGATAAAATAGATGCACCTATAAAGCAATTGTATTTTCTATCTGTTCCTTTGCTATAAATTATTTTAGTATTTTTTTCTTTTATTGTATCAATAAAAGGAAGATAAGATTTTAAAATTCCTATAAAATTATTAAACATAGTAGACTCTCCTGTTACAATTAAAAAATTAAGAACTTCATCTAAATTGATATTAGATGATATAAAAGATAAAATTCCTTTTTTAACGAAGTTTTGCAATCCATCAAAAATTTCAAAATAATTATCAATTTGATCTGAATGACATATATTAGAATTTTTATCAGCAGGATTTTCAAGAATTTTTTCAATAACTGAATTACTACTATTTATTTTATAGTTATATGTATATAAAATTGGGAGTTTTAAATTTTTTAAAGAATCATAAAAAAGATTTAAATCAATATTATTTAATGATGTAATTCCGCTAATTTTGCTTATGTTATTTTGATTGTATTTTTTTCTAAAAAAAACATACGGAATTATAAGATTTAATGAATTAACGGTACACTCGTCAATTATATTACCATCTGGTAACTTGTAGTTATTAGTTTCATTTGTATTCGAAGAATTTTTATTTTTATCACAAGTATTTTGACGATCATTAATTAAATCTTCTTTTAATTGATTAACTACATAAAGAGATCCCCAAAGGTAGTATGATTTTGTAACTAATGGGCATTTTAATATTTTTACTTCATTATTTCTTTTTTCACTATTTTGATTTTTATCAATAGAAAAATAAGGATAAATTTTTATTTTTTTAATATTTTCTAAATAAGACAAATAAATTCGATCTATTAAATCTCCTCCTATAGGAACTTCTTCAATATGCTTTTGAAATATATATCCTTCTTGAATTCCACACAAATTAGTGCAATTTTTTTCAACATTTAATACTAAACCAGATGTTCTTGCACATCCGTAACAAGATAAGACACTTCTTCTAGATAAAAATAATTGAAAAACATTATAAGATTCAAACATTAATTCAGTAAATTTCTCTCTATATTTACTGTCTGTTTTATTGGGTTCTGTTAATAAAATTGGATGATCTTGAAAATTATCATCTAATGCTTTACTCCCTGATATATCTTCAAACAATTTTTCCATTACTTCATAATTTATGTCATACTTACTATTATTATTATCATTATAAATATACTTCATTCCATATAATAATTCTACATTATCCCTTTTTATTTCTGGTAATAATGGAAATATTGTATGTTTTAATGTTGCATTATGACCTAAAGGTAAACCTAAAATTAAATTTGAATTATATCTAGGTGAACATTCACCTGAATAGCCTGCTCTCATTTCTCCATCATTAATATCTAGAATTATTGTTTGTATATTTTGAAACATTTTTTTTTTTTTATAAAAATCTTTTTTTTTTTTTTTTTTTTTTATTTCTTTCTCTTTTAAATAATTCCATCAATTTATGTTATATATTTTACAAAAACTATAACTTTATTTTTTTTTATATTAATTATTATGTTTTCTATTAATATTTCATATATAGAAAATGTATGATTCGTTGTTATTTCTCAAAAATTAAGATAATTTCACTTTATTTTCTCATATATATATATATATATATATGTTTATGTAACTTTATTGTAATTCTTGTTAAATTTCATATACATTAACTTTATCACTTTTTGATAATACTTCTTCAAAATAGAATTAATTCCACTTTATATATATATTAATTATTATGCTATACTTATTAATATTCATATATAAATTATATTATTTTCTATTATTATTTTATAAAAGAATAATTGTAAAATTTTTATTGGAAGTCTTAAAATATATAATTATCTTTCATTTTTTTATTTTATTTTTTTTTTTTTTTTGTGGGGAAAAGTATTAATTCTTTAAACTTAAAATTATTGATATTTTTTACTTTTTTTTTTTTTTTTTTTTTTTTTTATATATATTACATATATAGTATTTTTTATGGAAAATGTTAATAGTTTAAACTAAAAAATAATAGTATGATTATTTAAACATTTTTCTCATTTTTATTTTTTTCTTTTATTTTTTTTTATAATAATTATACAAATAATATATATTTACTTTTTAACAATTAAAAAATTTTTAATTAAAAGTATTTTTACTCCTTCAATAAATTACATTTTTAAGATTTCATACAATTTCAACCTTATTTTTCCTTTTTATTTGATTATTTTTAATAATGTATATAAATTTTTTTGATACCTTAAATTACAAGTTTGTTAAAATGAATGATTAACTCTTATTATTTTTTAGTAACATATATATTTTTTGTAAATGTAGTTTTTGTATTTTTATATTGTTGATTTAATCTTTTTTATTTTTAACAATTTTACATGAACTATCCTACAAAAATTTATTTTTTTATTTAAAAAATGTCTCCATTTTTGTAAGACAACAAAAAATAATCTGCTCAATTGTTTGAAGAAATTAATATTTTTATTTATCTTTTTTTTTTTTTTTAATTATTTTCTAATTTTATAAAAATTAATATTTAATTTTTTTTTTTTGTTTTTTACTTATTTAAATTATTTAAAACATATGAAATGTTGAAAGTTTTTTATTTTTAAATATAATGTTTGAGAGAAAGTAATAATAAAAAATAAACAAATATAATTTATAACTTTCTTTAGCAATTTACTGAATTTATAGATTATACAAATATATGGAATTAAATGATTTTACTTACTATTTATATAGGTATAGGTTATACTGCTCAAATATTTTATAATAAAATTTTTGTAGTATAATTTTGTAAGTATAATTTTACTAAGTGTTACGAACTTTCATTTTTTTTTTTTTATTTCACTATTTCTTTTAACTTATTTTAATAAGAAGCACTAATTAATATAAATGTGTTTAAAAACGTTTCATTATTAATATAGATCAAATATAAACATATAATAAATATTTTCCTATATAGAAAAATTGCTGTATTCTCTTCTTTTAAAAAAAAAAAGAGAGAAGGAAAGAAAAGTGTAAAAGTCAAAAACTAAATATAGATCATTTAGAAAAAATATAATGGAAAATATATTTATTTGTTCCATTATTTTTAGAAAAAAAAAAAAAAAATGTGTACATACAAATAAGGGAAAAATTTTTATGGGCATTTAAAATTTTGATATTATTACAATATTTAACCTTTATTTATTTAAAAAAATGAAATAAATAATTAAATCAGATGTAATAAGTTTCCTTAATGAATGACACTTTAATGTAAAAGAATGATTCTGTAAATTTTATTTTACCTTAATATATTTTCTTTGTTTTTTTCAGTTACTTTTAATATTATAAAAGTACTGAATTATATTTATTTTTAAGTTTTTATTTTTTTAAAAACATTATGTAAATGCATTATTTTTTTATTTAATAAATTTTTTGTATTTATGAATATAAGTATATATATTTATATATTTTTTATTGTTTAAAATATTTTTACACAACAAAAAAAAAAAAAAAATAAAAAGACAAATAAAATTTTTTTTTATTTAAAAAGTATATTTTTTTTTTTTAGTTTTTTTTTTTTTTTTTTTTTTTTATTGGTATATTTTATATTATATGAAAAAAAAAATGAAAAAAGTTGCAATTATTTTTTTTGTTTTCTTTATTGAAAAAATTTTCGGCATTAGTATTCATTCGAAAAAAAAATACCCTAATGTAGAAAATGGAGTATACCAGTTAGATAATAGAGGAAGACCAATAAAAATTGTTGATGTTAATTATGAACATATATGGGAAATACCTAAAAATGGAGATATTAACTCCTATGCTGTTGTTAAAAAGAATGGAAAAGTGAAAAAATTTAGTGAAGGAACAAATATAATATATGGTACAACTAAACGAATAAAAAAAGAAAATGTAGAAGAAACAGATGAAAATGAAGTTAAAAAAGAAATTATAAAAAAAAAGAAGATAAAAGATATTAAGAATGTTTCTAGTGTTTCTAAAAAAGAAAAAGAAAAGACAGAAGAAAAAAAAACAAAAAAAAAAATATTACCTCGTGCTATGCATATTACAGCAGACGACATCTCATCAACAGAAGAAGAAAAGGAAGAAGATGAAGAGTAATTTTCATTTATTTAAAGATTACTAAAAAAAATTCAAATTTTTTATTTCTATACATAAATTACATTAAACAAAATATATAAAAAAAAAAAAAAAAAAAGAATCATTAAACTAGTTAATATAATATATATACATACTATTATTTTCTCAAGAGAATATTTAAAAAAAATTATTAAATTATACTTAATAAATAATAAAAATTAATAATTTAAAACATAAATTTTTTTTTTTTTTTTTAATTGAATATAAAGAGAAATAAATATAGGAAAGGAGTTAGGAGGTATTTTAAGAAATAAAATTTATTAAAAAATTATCAAAAAAAATAACATCAAATAAAATATAAATTCTGATATATTTTTTTATGTTTTATTTTCCTATAAGACATATATTAAAGAATTCTACATAAAATATTAAAAAAAAAAAAAAAAAAAAATTATATAAATATTAATTTAAAATATTAATCCAGATTTTGTCTAATTTATTCATATTCTCTTATATATTTTTTTTTTTTTTTTTAAATAGTTGCAATAAAAGAAAATTTGGAGTCGTTAGTATTGAGATTATGAATAAAAAATAAAACATTATTGCAAAAAAAAAAAAAAAAAAAAAAAAAAAAAATCCTAGATATATGTGATAATCACGTCAAATTAAAACATTATTTTTTTATTCAGGCATTATGAAGAATCAAAAAATCCTTCTTCTCTAAGTATTGATTTATTAGATGCTAAAATTCCTGATAGCATAGAAAAATTGTTGATGGAAGATTTAGAAGAAAGAAAATGGATATCTAAAAAACCTGTTAGTGATAAAATATGTTTAAGAGATTATTCAAAACAGTGTCCTTCTACATGGGAACGAGTATCAGAAGTACAATGTAGATCACCAAAGTATTATAGATAATACTAAACTTAAATATTGCTAATTTTTTTTTTTTTGTTTTTATAAAAATTTTAATAAATTTTTAATATGTATAATTTTTTCTTTTATAAAAGAGATTATTCTGGACCTTGTTCTCATATTATGGTTTTTGAACCAATGACTGCAAAAGAAAAAAGTCAACTAGCAATAGATTGCAAAGGTTTACATAATATAATAGTTCTATAAAATAAAAAATATAATATAAATTTATAAGGCATAATAAATGATACAATAATATCTTTATATATTCATATCAGTCAACTGGCTATGTATTAATGAATCATGTGGTAATAGTAAAAGGGATTATTCAAAAGATTGCCCTGAAAATTGGGAATACACAGGAAAATGTGAAGCTCCTGAGTAATTAAAAAAAAAAAGGATATAACTATAATAATAATCATTAAATGTATTTTAATCAGTTAAAATATTATTTCTGCATTTTTATTTTTACTTATGTAAAGGAATTATTCTGGAGGATGTAACAAAATAATGGTAAGATATTTATAAACAATATTTACTTATATATATAAATAAAATGTAATAATTTTTATTCAGGATTTTGGTGCTTTTACAGAAGGTGAAAAGGAGGAATTTTCTTCAGGTATCTTAAAAAGAATTTTAAAATAGGCTCATAAGAAGAGAAAACTTTTAATATTTAGTATTTTTTTTCTTCATATTAATTTTATCTAGTCTGTAAAGTGGTACTTTTCTAAGTTAAATTTGAAGAAAATTTAAAGAAAAAAGACAAAATAATAATTATTAAAAAAGAACTAAACCTAAATATTGATAAAAAAAAAAAATTTTAACTCTTAAATTTATCAAATTCTCTTTAACATTATTAAAATTATTCTAGGTTTGGCCATGTAAAGAAGAATCATGTGGTAATTTATCTTTAAAAAGAATATGCATACATATATAAAACAAATTATATAGGAAAATTTAGATATATTTTAATGGACTATAAAAATAAATAAGAATATTTTAATTTAGAATTATACTTGTATTTAAAAAGAAGAAAAAAAAAAAAAAAAATGAAAAATATATAAAATAATAATAAAATTCTATTTTTTATAGAAAGAGATTACTCAATAACATGCCCTAAAGGTTTAAAAATATAAAATAAAAATGAGAAAAAATTATATTTTTAAAAAAAAGTATATGGATATATATAAATATATTAAAAAATTTACATTTTTAATCACAGGATGGTCTTACGATACAAATAGAGATATATGCAAAGGAAACCAAGAATTTGAAGGATTAATTTCAAAGGAAGAGATGGAAGCTATAAGCCATATGTCTTACCATGTTAATAATGAAAATATTTAAATCTATAATTTTTTTTAGTTTATTGATATTAAATATATCCATAATACAAGATTTATGAATGGAAATTTTTATAGTAGTGTATATTTATTACAAACCTTGAATCTATTACATATATATATATTACTCTTAATTGCATTATATATATATATATATATATATATATATATATATATATATATATATATATATATAATTTATTTTTATTTTTACATTTAAACAAAAAAATGCTATAATATGAATACAAAATATAATAGCAAAGAATGACATTTTCCTCAAAATATGGAATTGCATGGCCTTGTAAGAATAAATGCACTTATGGTTACGATAAGTATCCTTGTCCAAGAGGATGGACAAATTTAATGAACTCCGGAGCTTGCAAAGCTCCTGATGATTATAATCCTCCAATGAACTGTCCTCGTATAACACATTTTGATTATATGAATATAAATGAAAAAGAAAAATTTAGTATAAAATGTAATGTTAAATGGTTATGTGTTGAAAATGCACAAAGAGATTATTCAAAATGTCCAATGCATTTTGATTACATAGATAAAGGAAATAATAAAGGAATGTGCAAGCCAAATGATAAATATAAAGGACCATGTAAGGAAATCCAAAATATTTTATCTTTATCGCTTGAGCAAAAATATAACTTTGAAGAAACTTGTGAAGCACAATTTCCTCATATAGAAAATGAAAACATTCCTCAAGCAGAACAAGATAATATTCCTAAAAGTACTATAGAAAAATTACTAAATGGAGCGGATATTTCTAAAAGTGGAATCACATTAGAATAAGATGAGCATATATATATAAAGCTAAATATATGTTACTTTTATCCTTCTTCATTAGTACATTTCTAAAATTTTTAAATATTTTTAACCTTAATAATTATAATTTAAAAATATAAAAAAAAAAAAAAAAAAAAAAAAAAAAAAAAACATAACTAATGAAATATAAATGATTTAAATTTAAAAAATATATAGTAAATCTCTTTCACACTTAAAAAAAAAGGGTTAACAGAAAAATTAAATTTTTCTTCTTTTTCTAAAAATGTATTAATGTATTTTACTTAATAATATAAATAAAAATTATGCATTAAAAATTTTTTAAAGTAATTTTTCCTTTATTTTTTTGTCTTTTTCCTTTTCCCTTTATTACTATTTTCTAATTTATATAATGGAAATTACAATCATAAATATGTATAACTATAGTTCTATTTTCTTATCCACTTCATTAATCTTGTTAATACAGTTGTGTTTTCTAATTTTTTTCAAAATTGAAAAAAATTTAGTTAATGAGATATATATATGATTGAATTTTTTTTTTTTTTTAATTTTATTTATAAATGCATTTTAAGTTATCTATTTTTTTTTCATATTATTTTATACATTTATTTCTTTATTTCTTTTTAAAATATATTTAATTTATACATATTCCATTTATCATTATATATTTCTTTCTATTTTATTTATTTGTGTATTCCACAATGATTAATATATATATATATATAATTTAACAATTTTTATATTCTAATATTCGAATTTTTAGGAGTTCCTATTACATTTAAGAGAAATCTGCAGAAGTTTTTGGTAAACCCTATTTTTCAGATTTTCGTCAGATATGTGTTCAAGAATTTCATTTACAAAAGATTTCATCATTATTTCTCTTGCAAGTTTTTCAGATATTCCCCTTGTCATCAAAACAAAAATTGGTTCTTTTTCTAAATCACTTATAGTTGCACCGTGATTTGCATATTCTATATCATTAGGAATTATTTCAAGAGTGGGAATTGATACAGCACTAGCACCAAAATTCAATAAAATAGATCTACATAGGGTATTTAATTTTGCCTTAATTGCATTCCGTTCTATTCTACCTCTGCTTCTCCAAACAGCATGTGCTTTATCTGATACTAAAAATTTAAATAATTGATTTGTGTCCATATATGGATGCTCATGATGAAACATTTCATACTGACTTATGTTTTGTTTATCATTTAACAAAGCTAGACCATAACTTTCTTGTTTACATTTATTTTCTCCTTCTATTTGCAAATTAACTCGTGATGATAAACTACCTAAAAGTATATCTACAAACTTATAGTTTGCATTCAATCCATTTTTTACTGAAACGTTATGAAAATGCCACACATTATTACCTAATTCTTGAGATAAAGTATGCTTAACTGTAGATTTTTCTTCTAAGGAAATTCTAGAGAAAGCATTAACTAGGCCACTGTTATTTTTATTTAACGATATGTGTGATTCATAAATATTTAATTTACTATTTCTTTTTACGTAAACAACTAACCTTGGGTTAATTATTGGATTGTGGATATGTTCTTTTAATTTTTTTTCGGTAAATATGCTTTTTTCTTTTTCAATATATTTTTTTTCATTCTCAGTCTTTTCTGTATTATAGTTTTCAGTTAAATTACTATCTATATTGATATCAATTTTATCTATTTCTTTTTTTTCTGCAATTTTATTCTTATCAATATCTCTATTTTCACCTTCAGGGATGTTATTCTCATAAATGCCTTCAAGATTTTTATTAACATCTTCTTTGTCAATATTAATTGGTGTATTTTCAAAAACACTGTATCTTGATTCGTCGTTATTTATGTTGTCATCTTCATTTTTAGATGTAGCTATAAATATAACATGAATAAATTTATCACTTAAATCAATATCTTCATCTAAATAAATAACTGCACAATCTTTTATTGAAGCTAAATTTAAAGAAGAAAACTTAGCCATACCGAAGTCACTTTTTCTATAATCATAAATTGGATAATCATTATCAAATTTTCTTGACTGTTTACCAATTTGCCCCCTAATAAAAGGCTGTGTATTTTTTTTATGCCAATTAGAATATTCAGGTATAAAATATAACTCCTTATTAATTAAATATTCTACTTCAACATCTTTTACATTAAAAAAACTACCAACAAATATTTTGCTTTTATTTTTTTCAGTGTTTTCATTATTATTATATTCATTCATATTATTTTTATCTTCTGTTTTTTTTTTTGCTGATTCCTTCAGTTCATTATTTAATTTTTTTATAATGCTTATGTCATCAGATAAATATTCATCAACAATTCCATCTCTTACAACCAAAGTATAAAATGCATTTTTATATTGATTTTTATAATTGTCAACTTGACTTTCTTTATTGCAATTTGAATTATTGAATTCTTTTTGAGATTCCGTTTTAAAATTTTTTTCTTTTTGTGAAGAATATTCATCACTCTTTATTATTTTACAATTAGTATCGTAATTTTCTTCTATTAAGTTTTTGTTAAGAGTTTCTTCATTATTGGGATTTTCACATTTTTTATTATGTAAGCTGTATAAATTTATATCCTCTGGAATTTTTTTTTGATTTAATATACTTGAATTATTTTTATCATAAACTTCTTCATGATTTTCTTTTTTATTATTTTTCATATTTTCATCCTTCATATGTGAATTATCTATTATTTTCATTTTAAAATTTATTAATTCTTCTTTTGAAATATTCCTTAAACTTATGCTGGTATCAAAGTTTTGTTTATAAAATGATTTTAAGTTTATTTGTTGTCTCCATGCTTCTAATTTTCTATTTGGTGTTGGAATTTCTTTGAATGCAAATTTTCCTGAATTTTGTAAAATCTTCCACATGCAGAATTTAGGGTCATCAATATTTAAATATATTTTAGGTATAGGAACTTTATTTAATTTTTCTACTATTTCACCATTTTCATCATATTTCCATAAATTAATAAATTCTTTATCTTCTAAAATATTTTGATCATATTTGTTTTTATATATTTGAATTTTATCATCAAATAAACTTTTTTTGTATGTTAAATGACGCGATATTTCTTCGTCAATTTTGTCATTATCATTGGAATTTTCTTCACTATCGTTTTGACTGCTTACATTTTTTTCCTCTACGTTATTATTATATTCATTATCCTTCTTTACTCCATCAAAAACTTTGTTTATAATATCTTTGTCCTTTTCATTTATTTCTTTTTCGTTTTCTGTATATTTGTTTTTATTCATCTCTGTATCAGATTCTAATAATGAATTAAATGAATTAAAATTACAACATGAAACATCATTTACATTTTTATTTTCAGTGCTAGTTGTTCTATCACTTTTTAAAGATGTTTTATTTTTCTTAGAATTATGAGAACTTAATTTCATTAACCTTTCTTTTAATTGATCAAATTTATCAATTATGAAATCTGTTTCTATAGCAGTTTTATCTCGTATTAATATTTGTAATGTGTGTAAATTTAACAAAAAGCATAAATTAGAAAAAAAATGCTGGTTGTATGAAGACGATATTAACATCAAATCATTAAAGAAAATATTCCTTTTAACATCTGTTGGTGTATTAAATGAATATATCTTGTTTCGTTCTTTACCAAAAGTATCAATATTACGACTACTAAACCCACTAGTTGTCAAGAAATTTATAGGAGAATTATTATAACATTTAGGCGAGTTAAAATTAGAAGGAACAAATTTAGATTCAGTAGAAATATCTTCTTCATATGTTATTAATTTAGGAATATAATATTCATATTCATAAAAATTAATTGTTTTGTCAATAGGATTTAAGTATTTATACTTATATTTATAAGTTAAGTAAGGTTTACGCTTTTCCTTGTATTCTTCTTTTTCAATTAATTCATTATTTTTTATTAGATTATTTATACTTTTTACATCTTCATATTCGGTATTATGCATATTTGATATATAATCATACATTAAGGTTAAATTATATTTATTCTCATTTTTAGATATACACCATTCATTAATAATAATATTTGATATATTGCGTCTATTCACTTTTGAAATATAGTCATTTTCTTCATTTTCTTCATTTTCTTCCGGCGTAAATATTTGATACAATTCTTCATATTTTCTTAAATATTTTTTGGAATTTCTTTTCTTCTGATTTCTATTTTTAACACATATGTTAATAAAAAATAACTGTGGAATTTTAAAGGAATTTTCTTTCTTTAAGAATAATTGTTTTTTTACTTTTAATTTTATTTTTACTTTATTATTGTTTAAGTTCTTTTTTTGTAATAACTTTTCAAAAACACAGAAAATGGGATAATTTTTTATAATTTTTTTATCTATTGAATTTTTATTTTCAGTCGTTTCGTAAGTTAGAACCAATTTTTTTTGAAGTTTTTTTTTTAAATTATTTCTACTGAAATTAAATACACACACATTTCTATTAATATCATTTCTATTAAATACATTTTTTATTTTATCATATGTTTTTTTTATCTTTTTTTTTAAGTTTACAAAAAGATACTTCTTAATTTGGAATTTTATTATGACCGTTTTATTTTCCTTAATTTTTTTTCTTAAATTTGAGTTATGTGCACAAATATCATTCAAATTTTTGCTCTCCACATAATCAAAAATTTTCATGAAATTGTTAGTTAATAATAAAAGAACTAAAACGTAATTATATATGAGTATTTTAGGCATAGTTTTATTATATAAAAATCGTCATTTTTATAAAAAAAAAAAAAAAAATAATTATTTTTTTTTAAACATTTTGCCATACATTATTATGAATCTCCTTTTCCTCATAGTATATTACACTGGAAAAAAATAAAATTGCAAAAATGTAATTCTTAAGATATAAAAATTGTATATTTTGTATATTATATCTAGAGAAATAAAATGAAATTATAAAATTTAAGTTAAAATTACTTTTCTTTTATGTTCTTCATTATTCATTATTTTCGTTACATAATTGTTGAAATTATAAACATTAATATTCATAAAAAATTTATACCTTATAACTATTTTACAAAAAAAAAAAAAAAAAACATATTAAAGAATAAATCATAAAATATAATCGCAATTCATATATTTTATTTAAAAACATATAAAAAAAAAAAAAAAAAAAAAAAAAAATATATATATAAAATAAATAAAAAATAAAATGAGAGTTTTTTATTTATTTTAAATGAATTACTCCAATCCTTAAAATATAGATATGAAAATAAAATACTTTTTTTAATGAATGATATTGTGAACTGTTTTATTTTTATTTATTTTTTTTTTTTACGTAACTTTCATATCCTACAAGAAGTTAATACAATTTCTTTTTTACTCATTTTTATTATGAAAATAGTAAAAGTTTATGCATAAATATATAATAATATATATATAAGTCTTTTAATATATAAATAATGAAAGTTTATTCTATGCAAATATATTGTCTTCTCTTTTTGCTTCATAAACATTTTAAGTAAAAAAAATATGTATATAATTTTGGATGAAAAACATTTTACTACAAGTCTTATTTTTATTTACCTATTTTTTTTTTTAGTTTTATATATTTTACCAAAATTATGAATTTCAATACTGATGATATTTTATAAATATTTTATTTATATTCTTAATAATAACCAAAATAAAGATGATGTATTTTTTCTTAGGAGTGTTATTATATATAAAATAGAAGCTTTATATGTTATTTAAAACTTGAATTCTTCAATGTTTTAAGTTTCTTATTTTCTACTGTACATATCTTTATGATGTTATGAATTTTATTATGAAAATATATATACATTTACTTAAAAATAATACATAGTTTTAACTATTCAACTTTATTGCTTAGTTTTTTTTTTTTTTTTTTTTTTTTTTCTATAAGAAATTGTGAAACTACAAAGAGAAGGAAGCTATATAATTTATCAGTTTTTAATAGAATTTTAGTGCCAGAAAATTGTTCAAGAAAGCATTATGCTTATGAAAAAATTAAATAAATATTTATTATCATAGTATCGCATAAATAATAAATATATTATGTTCTTTTTCATCTTAATTATTTGACTTTTATACTTTGATTTTTTTTTTCTTTTTGATGAAAATAGTCTTAAACTAGTATATGATATAAATACAAGTTCATGTGATTCTAAAGTAAAACTAAGAAATTTTTATGGGTATCATTAAGAAAAAAAGAAAAAAGAAACATTTAAACCAACTTTTAAAAGTATATGTGAATTGTAAAAGTTCTAAATTTTTATATAAGAATCATATATCTTAAAGTTTGAAAATAAAAATTTTTTTTAAAATTGTAGCTTTTATGCTTATTTTTTAATGAACATATTCTTTTTTTTTCTTTTTTTTTTGAAGAGAAAATAATTTTTTAGTGATATCTAGTTTAAACAACATCCATTATTTGCACAAATTAAAATACTTTAGGTTTATTAATTTTAATAATTATTTTTAATAGATATTTTACGTTATAATTCATAAAATTCTGAAATCTAACTTATCAAATTATAAATTTATAAAATTTTAATATTTTTTATTATTTTATTACATATAAAAATGATACACAAAGAATACATAGTTATAGGTGATGTATTGCTTAGAATTATGTATAATTTGTTATACTAAAATTTTTAATAACTTTTCTTAAAATTTTTAATTTTAAGTATTTCAGAAATTATTAGCATATTTAATAAAAAAAGAAAAAAAATGTGTTTTATTTAAAACATTATTTAGGAAACTAATAAAAAAAAAAAAAAAAAAAAATCAATAAAAAAGTTTAATATTTTTTTTAATAAATAGATAATCTTCATATTTTCATCTAAGCACGAATGGCTGAGTGGTCTAAAGCGTCAGACTCAAGATCTGATGAACGTAAGTTCGCATGGGTTCGAACCCCATTTCGTGCATAAATATATAAAATAGTACATTAGTGATAAGTGAAAATAAGTTAAAATTTTTTCTTAGAAATACATAAAAAGAATATATTAAAAGTAAAATGTAGATTTCAAAACCTATGATGTAATCATATTTGTATATGATAGAAATTACTATTAGAACTGTATGAATATAATATTCTTTTAAATTAAAAATTTATAAAAATGTTCAGTAATTTTTACATTTTTTATAAAGTTTACATTAATAAATTCAATTTATAAAAAAAGATTAACCTAAAAAATAATACTATTAATATCCTGTTATTAATAAAAGGGTAGAAAATGGAGAAATTCCCAAGAATAAAAAATTTCTACAAGTTATTAATTCAGTTATAAAATAACATATATCTTTAATTAAACTGAAAGATTGTACATATATTTAATAATTTTTTAGTTAATTTTAATAATTAAAATTCTAAATAAAATTCATGAATAAAATTTTAAGAAAAGGAAAATTAAATTTTAAACTTATCGTTGAATTTATGTATAAATACACTTATAACTGTTTTATTTCTTATAAATAATTTCAAATACCTTATCCAAGAATGAAAATCATAATTTTCAAATGTACACATTGCTTTACGTAATTTATAAAAATTCTTTTTTAGATAATCTAAAATATGTAAATAGAATCATGTGGATATAAAAAAAATTTCCATTTCTAATTTAATAATAAATACATAATATTATTTGAAAAGAGTTTATTTACTTTTAAAAGTACACATTTGCGATTAACCATTATTTTGACATTAAAAAGTTTTCCTTTTTTTAATGTTAACATTTTTTATAATAATTATTATATATTAAAAATTTTACTCTTTTATAAAAATAAAGTAGATGCGTCAACCGGGAGTCGAACCCGGGTCACCTGCTTGGAAGGCAGGTATCATGGCCGTTAGACTATTGACGCTATATTATATCTTTTCTACAGATAAATTTTATTTTAATAAAAAAGAAAAAAAAAAAAAAAAAATACATTTTTTTTCTTATCTATTTAGTAATAACATAGAATACTGAAAAATAATGTGAAAAAAGTTTTTATAAATTAAAGATTAATTTTTTATTATGTTACATTCTCAATTTGATATTACCCTTTTTTGATATAATATAAATGTTAAATTTGCATTAAAATTTATTACATTAAATAATACATTAAAATATTAACAATGATTTTATTACAAAATATTCTAAAAAAAAAAAATATAAATTCTCCTGATAACTAATTATATATGTAATATAATTATATAAAAAAAATACATTAATACATTTTATATATACATATTTATGTTTTTTTGTATTAAAAAACCTCAAACATATTTAATGATATGGTTTTAACATATCATTAGTTTTATTTAAAATTTAAAATAAAGTTTATGAAATATATAAAACTATATAAAGAATATAAATATTTGTAATTAATATTTGATAGCTATTATCTTTATAATAAAAAATAAGGAGAGTTTTATGTACGAAATAATTCTTAGTTAAATTGTTTATTAACATTTACAGGAAAAAAAAAAAAAAATATAAATAAATAAAAACATTAAAAAGAAATAAAAAAAATTTAAGTCTGTGAAAAAAAAAATTAATCAATATATGGAATAATTTATCTTTATAATCATTTTTTACTAAAATTAAATTTATTATCTTACAAATGTTTTATTCATATTCGTCATTTTTTCCTTTTTTAATGTTATGTAAATTATTGTTCTTTCGGCTATATGTTATACGTTGACATTATCAAAAAAAAATATTTTAACTTAAAATAATAAGAATAATATATATTTAAATTACTTTAAATATAAGTGAAAAATTTTATAATATTTTGATAATATACTAGTAAATGATCCTTTGTTTTTTTATTTATTATAAAATTGCACATACAATTTTATATATGGAATTTAAGACAAACGTTTCGAACATAAATTTACTGAAACTCTAATTTTTTTTAAAGAAAAGGCATAAAATATAAAAAAAAAAATATATATATATATGTGCATACAAAAATAATATTTATTGGAGAACCCATTTTATTTAACAAATATATTTGATAAAAATAAAAACTTTAATATATACAAATTATTTCACTTTATAAATTTTTTTTATGTGACATTTTAATTTTAAGTTTTATATATGTTATGACATTAATTTTTAAAAAATATTTTCATAAATTTTACTGTTTTAAATTTTTTATTATTTACTTATTTGATATTATATGATTAAGTAACGAAATAAACAAGTAATATATTGATTGTTAATTAATTATAATAGATTAACAAATTTTCATAATAAAAGAATAAACTCTGAAAACTAACATAGTCTATTCATAAAAGAAATATAAGAATAATACAACAGATAGTACAACTTTTAACATATATTAATTTAAAATCTCAAATAGTATTTAGATAAAGAATCATCCGTTAGTTTTTTTTAAGAAAAATAAATGATTTCTATAAGTCTAAATTTTTTTTTTTCCACAATATTTATGTAAGTGAATTTTTTTTTTAAGAAGAAAATACTCTCTTTTTAATTACAAATAACCATACTTTTTTTTTCTTTTTTTTTTTTTATCTCAATATAGTTAATATTTTTAATCATTAAATGTATATATCATAATATTTGTATATTACAATATAAAAAGAAAATTTAAAAAAAAAGATATAGAAGTTTTAGGAAAATTTAATTTGCGTGTATAAGTTATTAATTTAGAATTTATTTTATCAATGACTTAAATTTTATAACTAATTTGAAAAAGCAATTTTTTTTTTTTTGTATGAAAAATTTTCATTTAAGGAATTTTTTCTGAAAACATTTTTTTAAAGCTTATTAATGAAATAAGAAATATAATTATACCTTCAAAATATATATTATATTTTTATAATTATCTTAATATGTTCAATATTACATATAAAAAAATAAAAGATAAATAAGAAAATCTACTATGAAATATTTCCAGGTAGACATTCCATATATATTAATTTTATTAATTTTTTCCTTTATAATTTTTTTGTATTATAAAATTTTTAGAAAGAATGTTGATGTAGTTCTCATAATTAAATATTTCCTAAAGAATATTATGAAGTCATTTTTTTGAATTATATGATTCCAAATGATTTATACTTTTTATTTCTTTTTGTGTATTCCTTAATCATATGAAAAAATGTAATATTCTTTTCAAAAAAAAAAAAAAAAAAAAAAAAATACCAATACCTTTTTTTTTATCATTATTATATTATTTCTTTTTCTTTATAATTATTCTTTTTTAAAGAAAAGAGTCCTATTTTATTCTATAAATTACTTTAAAATTTATTCCTTTTAGTTAGTACTCTTTATTAATTTTATTTCTTTCAATGATAAAATAATTTTATTAATTACGTATGCAAATAATTATATCATTTAATTAGTTATCTTATTAATATATAATTTTGCTAATTCTTTAATTTTATTAGAAACAATATATTATTTTTTAAAAAGTTTTATGTATAAAATATTTTTCATCAAAAAACTTTATAGTGAATATAGATTTATTCTTTAAATTATTGCATTACATAATTATATTCAGAAAGACAAAAATTTTATATTAATTTCACAATTATAATAAATGTTACAATTTTAATTTTCATTTTTAGTATAATTTCCGTAACTTTAATTGATGTTAGCAATGTTACTATAACATTTTAATTTCTTCAATTTTTGTATTTTTTTTTATTTCCTTTTTTAACTCATGATGACGAAATATTTAATTAGTTTGATATTAGTAGTTAATGATCATAATGATATTTTTAACTTAATTTTTTTTTTTAAATTTTTTCATTAATTTTGCATTATCTTTTTAATTATTTTTTGATATGCTTATGGGTACAAAATAAAGTAGCATATTTATCTTCTCTAAAAGCTTCATATTTTTTTATAATCAGCACATAAAATTTTCTATTTTTTTAAAATTAATATAATTACATAAAAATTTGTAAAATTTCAACCTAACCATCCTCTTTGTAAATGAATTAAACATATTCATTTGTTTCATATTACTTTCCTATATTTTATTTTTACAAAATTACCTGAAATGATATATATTAAATTTTAAAATACTTATTCATATTATTTCGTAAAATATATTTACTTAAAAATATTTTTTTAAGCTAATAGTTTTTAAAGAGAAATTTATATTATTTTTTATTTTTATTTAAAACCAAAATTTAAAAGTACAAAATTATAGAAAATAAATCAGAACACAATTTTATTATTTCATATAAATTAAAAGAAGGATAATTTTAAAAAATATTTTATAAAAAATATTAGTATTTTTCTTTAGAATTTTTTTTTTTTTATTTTAATATATGAAAGTGATACAATTTATTTGTATTTTTTATGTTACAATGGGTTTTATTTTCTTAAAATTTTTTTTTTAAAAAAACATGAAAATACATTATTAAATAAATTTTCCATATTTGTTTTTTTGTATATACTTTTTTTTATATTATATATTAAATATTTTTATTAGTCCTTTTTCTTCTTTTTTTAAATTTATTTATATAAATGAACAAGTAAATTTTTTATTAATGTATATATAAATTTACCTTTTAAATAAATAAAGAAGCGTACAACAGTGTTATTTATGTACATTTCTTTTCATATTTTATTAAGTTAATATTTTTAATATTATTATCAAATTCAAAAAAATTTATAAAAAATATTATTTTTAATAAGTTATATAAATGTAAATTAATATTTAAGAATAATAAAATCTTGAAAAGAAATTGTAAAAGTGATTAAAATTATATAAATAAAATATTATTAAGGATTTAAAATATAACCTCTTTGATACACTAATAATTTTATTGCGACATATATATTTTTTTTTTATTTTTTTATTTTTTTTTTTTTTTTTGAATTTATGAATTTGACTTAATTTTTTTTTAATAATATTATTTTCAATTAATTTTTTATAAATTACACTTTTTTTTTATGAAAAATTATATATAATTTTTTTTTTTTTTTTTTATATAAAAAGCATATTTATAATATAGAAAATAAAACTTTCCCTTTTTTTTATATTTTTTTAAATTAATATAATCAATTTTTTAAAAATGGCATCTATTCCAGTATCAGAATTAGCAGAATGCGAAAAGCAAGAACTTTTATGTACATATGCTGCGTTAATATTATTTGAAGAAAAAATGAGTATAACTAGTGATAATATTATAAAACTTATTAAAAAATCAAATAATTCAGTTTTGCCATATTTACCAATGCTTTTTGAAAAAACATTAAAAGGAAAAGATATTGAGTAAAGCAGAAAAACTGATAATACATTAACTTTATACATGTTATTACATCTTTCAATTTGTAGTTTTTTCATAAATAGAATTACAAAAATTATAAATATAAATTTCTATATTTAAAAATGTTATATGAATTATTTTGTACATAATTTTTATATGAATTATTATATTTTTTATTATTTTATAAATTGTAATTTATGTTAATATTGTGAATATTATATTATTTTTTTTTTTTAGATCATTACTAAGTAATTTAAGTTTAGGAGGAGCTCCTTCAACATCTGTTCAAGCTACAACAGAAAAACCAAGTGAAGAAAAAAAAGAAACTAAAAAGGAGGAGAAGGTAGAGGAAGAAGAAGAAGAAGACGATTTAGGTTTTTCATTATTTGATTAAGATTATTTCGAATAAAAACAGAAAAGATTTTTAAATGAAAAAATAAAAAAAGTATTTAATGACTTTTAATATGATCAATGATTATATTTTCACTTTATTTGATAAAGATAAAATAACATATTTTACAATTTAAATACATCACTTATATCTTTTTTTTTTTTTTTTAATTATATTTATTTTATAAAATGGAGAACTTAAAATGTGTAAAATAGGAAAAATTTATATGAAAAAAAAAAATTCTTATAAAAGTAATTTTTTTAAGAAATATGTAAAATTGGTTAAGGTATTAACCTTTGGTAATCTTTATTTTGTATTATATTTTTATTACATTTGAACTATAAAATATAAATTACATAATGAAGTATTTTTATATAAAAAATAAATACGCATAAGATATTTTATGTGTTTTTTAATTTTATGTTTCTAATACTTTCCCTTTTAATTTATTTAACCTGGAATTAATATTCACTGATAAATTTTTGCTCTACAGAGATAAAATATTTTTGTTTATACGTGAATTATATATTTTTAAAATAAAAATTTTATACGGTTAAAAAAAATATCTTGCTTTTATAAAAGTGCTATTACTTTAAATGTGCTGAAATGACAAATTAAAAATAATATAATTAACTTTCTGATTATATTTAAATAGCAAATTATTTTAAAAATAATATTTATTACTTTTCATTTTAATTATCATTAATGGGTTTAATATATTTATATTGTCTCACTTGGAGTTTATTACTATTAATAAAAGTATATTAGAGCTTTATTATATTAATAATATATAATTGTTATAACTAAATAATTTTATGCACATATTTGCGTTTTAATGAAATGGAGAAAAAACAAAAAATTAAGTTATTTTTAAGCTTAAATTAGGAAAAGAGAACATAAACACAATAAATTCAGATAAGGAATATATGTTTTTAAATTCAAAACGTTGTATATATATATTAATTCATGTTTTAGTTTTTTCTCTTTAAATAATGTTTTCAATAAAAATTAATTTTTTTTTTTAGTTTTACTCTTATATATATTTAGATATGTAAAATAATTTAATGAAAAAATATTATAAAATGATATACTTTTTTTTTAATTTCTAATTAAATGCCTGTATATTAAAGTTACAACTAAATTCTGAAATTGAAAGCTAAAATCTAAAATTAATACAAAAGAACAAATAAAAGCACTTATCTGTTTTCTACATTAAAAAATTATGAAATCATTATTATATCTGCTTTAAATGTTATAATCTTACGAATCTTTAATAATTTTCTATATATATAATTATATATATAATATTTAAAAAATAATATATATATATATATAAACAATTAACATAGATTTATTAAGGAAAATTCATCAACGTCATTTTTTTTTTTTTTTTTTTTCAAATATGGAATGAAAATAATAACATTTTAATGTTTTAAAGTGTAAATTTATTTAAAATAAAAAAAAAAAAATTAATATATAAAAATTATAAAATATTATAATCTTATATAAATACATAAAATAAATGAAATGTCTTAGAAATCAGTGTTCATAACGCGTGATTTAAAGAAAAAATAAAATTTTTTGAAGATTAGTAAGATATTAATTTATATAAATAATAAAAAAAAATATATATTAATGTATTAAAAAAATTAAATTCCTTTTTTGTTGTTCCGAAAATTTTTCAATGCAATAGTTAAAGGATTTTTTAAAAAAAATAACATCTTTTTATTAATAGTATATTGATTTAAATATTTACTATTAACTCATTTCATATTATTGTTTTTGTCTCATTATATGTTAATTTCTTGAAAAAATATCAACAAAAGAAATAAAAAGGAACAAAATTAAGAAAGTATACTTTTTAAATAAAAAATTTATATATGTGATACTTTATAGAAAATATTAGTAATTTTAGATATTTTAAGTAAAAATATAAAAAGTAATGTAGAGATATGTTAATAAACTTTTTTAAGGAAATAAAATGGTAATTTTTTTAGTTCATATTATTTTTTTTTTTTTTTTTGACTAATTTCTTTTTAAATGAAAAATGTACATTAATTATAAGAAAAAACTAAGGCATATTCATTATAATAATATAATAAATGAGTGTAGTGAATATTTTCATTCTTCATTTATTTCATGTTTTTACTAAGAATATAACATTTTCTTTATTTTTTTTCACATTTTTATTTAGTGTAGCATATTCTAAATTTTATTATAAATATTATATAATAATTCTTTAATCTACAATCATAAAAAATTTAGAGTTTATCTAAATTCAATTTATTACAACAAGATATCGTTAAATAGTATATACAATGTATCATTTGAGTTCTTTCTTTTCGTCTAAGAATTTTTTTTTATTTACAGATTTTTACATGAATACGTAAAATCTAAAGGAGAAATTTATCTGTGATAATTGGTTGTTATACGTTTATTATGATTATGAAAAGAAGAACTGTAATAACAAATATAAAAAAAATAAAAAAATTAAAGAACTTTTAAATATATATAAAAAAAAGAACAAATATCTTTAAAATTGTTTTTGCATAATGTTGTTTTATTAAGACATTTATGTGCTTTATAATGATTAAATGAAATACATCCAGAAACTGATGAAATTAGGTTAAGTATTCCTAAAATAGCTATAAAAAAGAAAATTATAAAGCTATTTTTCATTTGAATTTTAATTAAATGAATATTTAGATTTAATTTTTATTTTACTATAAAATATAAAAATAATTATGTAAAAGAAATCATTTACTTTTTTGGCTTTGTTTTGTAGCATTAATAATACTTTTATATATTCAGATTTTTAATTTAAAAAAGATTAATATACAAAAAATAGTATATGATATTTAAATTACTATAGTTATATATACAAGAATTTTTATAATAAAATTGTAATTTTTTTCAACATCAAAGGAAAAAAATAAAAAATATCTGGTAATTCAATTATTTAAAATGAAAACAGAGAAATCTAAAAAAAAATATAATTATTTTAAATAATTTGATATTTAAGTACTTTTTTTTTAAAATACTTGCACCAATATAATTAAAATTAAACAGGTCAACAAAATATTAACCAGTATATATCATATATTATAAATTGACATTTACTTTTTTTTTTATTATAATTTTATATGAAGTGATTTATATCATTTTAGGAAATAAAAATATCTATTAAACTCATTTAAAAGTTATAAAAATTAAAATATTCTACTAGGTAAATAATAATTAAGAACATATATAATATACAATAACTTCAAAGTGTTTGCATTTAATTTATTTTATGTGGAGTAATATACTATATAATTGTACATTATAGTTCAAAGAAAGAGGCATAATAAATGTCAAAAAATTTTCTTTAATTATAATACTTGCTAATAAATTTTATTATCAACCTCTTTTAAAATATAACAAGAGACTAATTTAACATAGATGAATGTTTTATATCAATATAAGAAGTTTGAGAGGATGTGTATTTATAAAAAAAGAAATTTATATATAAAATTTTTATCTTTAAGATACAAGTTTTTTTTTTTAATATTCTTAAAGTTCCTTTTCTTTCATTTAAGGAAAATTTATTTTTTATGTCTCATTATTTTCTTTTAATATTGACTATTTTTAAGAGATAATGTGTGATATATTTTATGAAAATTATTATGTTTTCCTAAATCATAACTTTTTAAGTAGTTATTTATTAAATGGAGTTTCACATACTTTCATAGAATTTTAAACAGACAAATTAATATAAGATTATGTGAAGAGATTTCTACTTATTTTATGTATGTCACTTATTATAAATAATTATATGTTTCTTATATAACTATGATATATAAGATGAAATAAATAATCGATTTATTTTATACTAAAATACTTAATAAAACCTTTATACGAAAACCTTGTAATAAGAATAAGTTTTCTGCGCATTTAGAAATGCTTTAAATGCCTTTAAAAAGCATTATCAACTTGTTTTAAATAATATTTATGCAAATAAAATAAGAAAAAATATTTTTATTAGTAAATTCTAAAAAAAAAAAAATGCTGGGAAAATATGAGCATCTAAATGTTTATACTAAAAAATAAGTATTCAAAAATATGTATACTAAAAAAAAAACATAGAGATATATTTTATTATATATTTTTTTTTTTTTTTATTTTGTGATGATGATCTAAAAAAAAAATTATGATTATAGCTTTACTTTTTTTTAAAAAAAAAAAATATTTCAAGAAAAAATTATTTTTGAAGTGAATGATATGGACTTTTTTCTTTATGGAATATTAAAAATGTAATGTTAAATATTACACACAGAGAATATTGTGTAAACTAACTTAAACTATAATTAAGTAATGCAACTAATATTTGATATTAACAAAAGTAATTAATTTGCCTAATATTTTATTTTACTTAAAACAAAATTAGGAGAGTATTTTCCACATGTTCTATTAATTTATTTGTACATTTCTAGCACAATCAATGAACAGAAAATTAATAAAGCATTTAACAAATAATGAAAAGTATATTATTTACATAAACTAAAATATTTATATTTATTATAAAAAAAATTTAGATTAACTATTAAGAAAAATGTAAAATAAAATTTAAAAAAAAAAATTATTGGTATTATATTATGAAATATCATAAAATTTTTATCATTTAAAAGAAGAATACCTTTTTATATTTTTATTGTAGTATGAATATACTATAGGTTATCAAAAAAATAATTAACATTTTGAGGATCCTAAGTACACTAGTAAGTATGAAAAAAAAACATAATTATATGGAAGTTCTCCAATAAATTAGACAACAAAAAAAGGCTCCTGCAATTAATAAAAGATGTTATTTACCATTGTGAAATTTTAATATGACGAAAAATATTACATACAAAAGTTGATAGTGTGTTTATGGTATTCGAAGATATGTGTATAAAAATATGCTTATAAGGATAAGCAAATTAAAATATGTATAACAGGATTTTTTATATAAAAATAAGTATAAAAAGACATGTTTCTAAAAATACTTTATTGAGATATTCATAATTACAAAAAAAATTATAATAAGGATTGTGTATTAGTTTTAGAAAAAAAATTATTTTTTTTTATTGCTTTTTTTTTAAAAAGGTGTAGGCATAACAAAAAAATTATAATTATTTTTCTTTATGATTTAGCGTATTAATGATTTATGTTTAATCATAAAAGATTATATTTTGTAACAAAAAATATTAAATATTATAATTAAAAAAATAAAATATAAAATGAATTTGTTTATTTAAAATAATATAAATAATTATATATTCTATAATTATGTGTAGTAAGTTCATTGATAAAAAAATAATTTAATAGAGATTTTTTTAGATTCTCTTTATTAAATCGACTGTTTAAAAAACAGTAGAATTGTTAAGATAGTCATAAATCACACAAAGACAAAAATACAATTTTATTTTAGAAAATTATTTTTTATTCATATGCATCTTTAAAAAAAAAAAAAATTATGCATATAATTTATTTTTTAAGAGTATATTTTTTTTGTTGATTTCATGAAAGTTTTATAAATTTTTTTTTTTTACGTAATAATGTGTAATTTATAAAATTAATATTGAATTATTTTTATACTAGGAAAAATAAAAATATAAAATTTAAATATTTTTATTAAACTTAGATTTTTTAGATGCTTTTTTCTTAAAATATTCGAACCTTATAGCATTATTAATTGATATTTCTAATACATTTGTAGTGTATTGCACAGTTAACGAAGAGTGCATAGTTACTTCTACTAACTTCATTTATTATAAAACTAATTATTTCAGATAATTTATAAACTTTCTATAATTATTCTATATAACATAAAACAAAAATTTAATTTCCTAAAAAATTTATAATCTTTTAATTAAAACATATTAACTTAATATTTTATTTATTGTTAATAAACATATAGTATTTTAGACCTTTTTGAACGTTTAATAAGACACAAATCTAACTTCACTAAATCATTACTTATCCCTGTAATTCATTTGAGAGAATATATTTTTTTTTAAGCAAATTTTTTTAACGTTTATTAGGGTTTTTTTTAAGCAATGGGAAATTATTTTTATTGATAATTAGTGTTTTTTGAAATAGAGAATGAATTATTTTTTTTTAATAAAGAAAGTTAAATGTATTTTTATGAAAAATTATGATTTTTTTAAATAAATAACAGCTTTATGAGCCATAATATGTGAATTATTATTCAGATATGATACATTCTTGTAATTTATATTGTTTTTAGAGATTGTTTTTTAAATTATATAAACTTTTCTTTAAATAATCCTAATGTAAAGGAATAATGAAATACACTGAATTGATATATATTTTATTATTAATTTTTTAAAGTTATGTAAAATGAGGTAATTATTTTATATTAAATGTTTTAATAACTTAGGATATATCATATTTAAAAGTTACTTTATAATTACTAAAATAGACAAAATTTTCCGATTATATACATTCATTATGTTTATTCAATACTTATAAATGGTTATTGAAAGTCACATAATGAATCAAAAGTAAGAAAATCTCTACTTAGTTTGAAATTATTTGTAATTGATAAATAACTTATATATAACTATATAATTTATCATAAAATAAATAATTCATTTTATATTAAATTTAAAATCCTTGAATTAATACTATATTAAATAAATATTTAATATTTCTAAATACATTAAAAATTTACCATAATGCTTATTAAAATATCAAATTATTATTTAATCAAAAATTTTTATAACATATCATTGTATATCATTTAATTGTAATATATAAAAAAATAATAGAAAAAAAATATTTTATTTAGAAGAAAAAAAATATGTATATACAATTTTTCTTAATATATATATTTCTTTTTTTTTTTATATTAATAGTATTCTTCTTTAATGTACACGTTTTTTCAAATTAATAATACTTACAACTAAACTTTCAGCTATAATATACTTCATTTTATTGAAAATTCAAAGAGACATATAATACTTGTTATTGATAATATCTATAAAAAAGTAATTATGATATGCTTTTTAATAATAATATATATAATTAGTCTTTTTACTTTTTATATACATATAATATTTTTAGTATTATATATAATAATCATTTGTAGGAGTACTTTAAGATATATAAAGAAAAGTATCAAAATAAAAGAGTTTCAGATAATTTATTTAATATTCAATGAAGAATGTTATCATATAAAAATTATGTATTAAGGATTTTTTAACTTTTGTGCAAGTACATATATAATAGAAGAAATAATATCAACAAAAATGATAATATAAAAAAATGACAAAATAATGTTTATAAGAAAATGCTTTAATTGATAACTTTAATATGATACTAATATAGGAGAAAAACACAATAGAAAGGTTATTAAATGCTAAATTGAAAAGATTAAGTAAATATTAAACAGGAGGTAATAGACTTTATTATCAATAGATGAAAGTAACATGCTAATCTCTAAAGAAGATATGGAAATTAAAAAATTACACAAAATGCGTAAATAAAGGAGATATAATTTACTTATAAATTTTTTTAGTAATATAGAAAAAATATTTGAAAAATAATAAATGTAAAAAATTTTTTTAGTACTGTTTTGCTATGATAATATTTAATTTTAATATTATGTAATTATAATAAAGGATAAATATAATTTTTTCTTCTCTTTTATATAATTTTGTTTGAGTTAATAACATTTAATTAACAAATGGTAAAATTTTTTACATACATAAAAATAACATACATAAATATTTTTAAAAAATAATTAAAACATATTCTTTAATATTTAAAAAAAAACATTAACACATAATTTACATTTATGTTTTAATTAAACAAATTATTCAATAAATAATTTTTTTTATATTATGTTATTGGGTATATAATATTTCATATTATAAATATAATTTATTCTTTAATATTAAATACAAATTTTTTTATATAGAAGTTATTAAATCACATAAATTCTATTTTTATTTTTTAAAGACTGTTTTATTTAAATTGTTTTTACATGCTTTTTTTATTATCTTTTCCTTTTTTTTTTAGAATCGATAAAATAAAAATTAAAAAATTAAATTACAAAAAAGAAGACAGATATTCAAACATTCTTTTATTCATCTAGCTAAAAAATTTTGTGTTTTTAAAATTACCTCAGGAGTTTTATTCAAGAAAAAAATTTTTGGAGACAGTTTATAAGAACAATTTATTTTTGTTTTTTTTTATTTTATATTAAAAAAAAAAGCTATTAAATAAAAACTAGTAATTATTTATTAAAAATGTGTTAACATATAATAGAACAAATCATGCATGCAAATCAATGTAAGAAAAACATGTTTTTTCTTTGAAAAACCAAGGGATTATTTTTATTAAATTTTTATCACATATAACATTCAACATTGAACATTCACTTAGGGAAATTATTCTGGAGATGTACCTTTAAAAAGTCTTAAAAAATTTTTTATTAATATAGAAAAAAATCTTTTTAAAAAGTGTTAATTTATCGTAAAAAAAAATTATCTACTTTTTCTTTAAATCTTCGTATGTAGCTACGTGTTACATGTGTTAAGGGAAAAAAAAAATTAATGAAAAATTTGTATTTACATTTTTTTTTAATCATGTGTAAAAAAAAATAAATTTAAAATTAATCTAACAACCATAATTAATACCCATATCTACATATTTATGGAATCATAATAAAAAATTAAAACAAATTGTAGCTATTATATAGATTCTCTTTAATTTTTAAAATTAGTTAAATTACTTAACCAAATGTGTATAAATTTAAGGGATATTTTTTATTTTTTGCATGTGATGGTTGTTACACTGTAATAATGCAAAAAAGCTAAAGCTACTTAAGTTGTAAAGATATACAACACATTTTTATTTATTCTTTTATTATTTAAAAAAGAAAGTTTATTTTGTTTAATTAAAATAACATTTCAGAGAAATTTTTTTTTTTATTTAAAATTTTTTTTTACTTTTATTAAAAATCATTTTTTGATATCTTTAAAAAATTTTTTCTACTATCTTTAAAAATTTTTTTTTCTCCTTAATAATTTTTTTTCTCCCCTTAAAAATTTTTTTCGAATTCTTTAAAAAAAAACCTATAATTGTTTAATTTCAAATTTTATTTCTATTTTGTTTTTCTTATAACTTTTATTATAAATTTTTTTTTGTTTTTTTTTTTAAGTGATATAATTTAAGTCAAATTATCTTTCGTTAATTAATTTTATGCTTAATGATTAACACAAACTCGTTTAAAAAAAAAGAAGATATATATTAAATTTTTGATAGATTATAAATATAAGTATTATTTTCACATAGTTAAAATAAGAATATTATTTAATAAAAATAAAGAATTACCTTAAATATAAAATATGTCTCTCATATTAAGGGAAAATGGAAAAAATAAAAATTATAAATTATATATTATTACTTTTTCTTATTTTTATAACAAAAAAAGGTAATAAGCATTTGATTACCTATATTATTTAGATATTATTACAAATATATATATGTTTTTTTTTTCTACAGTAAAATCAAATTTAGTAATCACTTGTAGTGATACTAATCACTGCCAAATATGCCACCAAATTTTGAGAAGTTGTTTTTTATCTGGAACATCAGAAATTGCAAAATGTGTGTCTTGTGAAGAAAAGCATCACAACATACTGCCTTGTTTAGAATATTCAAGTATTTTAAAGAAAAATAATTAAGCAAATACATTTATTTTGTTTATTATATTAAATTATTCAATTTTTTTTTTTATTTACTTTCAGAGGAAATTTTGATGAGTCAAAGTGAAATTGAAGCATTTATTGAATTGCATGAAGAAGTAAAAAAAAAAAAAAACAATAAATATGAATAACTGTAAATGTTATTATATATATTTTATTTTTGTATTTAATTAAAATAATTATAACATGAACATAATTCATTTTTTTATTTTAATTTTTTTTTCATACATAATAATTATGTATTTTTTTTATATTTTTTCTATTAAAGGATTACTTAAAAACAGAAAATTTCGATAGTTTAATAGAAGAAATAGTTGATTTTTCCAAGGAGGTATTAGGAAAAACTACAGAAGATGAAAAAAGCGACGATGAACTAAAAAAAAAAAAAATAAGACAATTATGTCTTTATGTTAATTTTCATGATACTTATGAAAATGCAAAATTACATGAGCAAGCTTCTGTTGAAAAAGTGCAAGAGAATATAAAAAATATTATTGATAAATATACAACTGATACTATAGATATGGAAAAAGTAAAAAAATCATTAAATCATCCTGCTCTATGCTTACAAAATCCAGAGGATTGGATAACTGATAGAATGGGTTTAGATGATCTTGATGTTCCATCTTCTGGAGTTATAAATCATAATGAAATTTTTGAATCGTATGATGATCATAACCTAAAGAATGATTTTAGTGACAATAATTCAAAATGTAATAGGGATTATTGTAATAGATTCGATGATACAAATGAATGTGAATATAATATCAGAGTTTTAAATCAAGGAACTTGGTAAAAAAAAAAATATATAAATTTTTGCATACTTATTTACGTTTATACATTTATATATATATATATATATATAATATTTATTTTATTTAATATGTTTTATATTCTTTCAGTGGTAATTGCTGGGCTTTTGCTGCTTCTACTGTTGTTTCAGCCTATAGATGTAGGTCAGGCTTGGGATTTGCTGAACCTTCAGTCAAATACACAACATTATGTAAGAGTAAATTTTTTGGGGGACAATCAAGACGTTCTTATTATCCGGGATATACAACTTCAGCTTGTAAGGAAGGAGGGCATTTAGTTCAATTTTTAAAAGTATTAGAACATACTGGAACATTACCAACTTCTTCCAATATTCCTTACTTTCCACCATTGAATACACCTCAATGTCCTTATGTTGACCCCTCATGGCCAAATATATGGGAAAGGGTTACATTATTGAATACTGGAAATTATGGTTACACATATCAAGGATTTTGGAAAATAAGTTTTAGAGAATACGCACAAAGAAATAGAACTCAGGATTTAATAAATATATTAAAAGATTTAGTTATGAAACAAGGTGGTATATTTGTAACTATGCAAATATCTGGAAAACTAAGCTATGATCATGATGGATCTCGTCCTATGATGAATTGTGAATATGGAAGACCAGAGCATGCAATAACATTGATAGGATATGGAAATTATACTGGATATGGAGGAAGACAAAGTTCTTACTGGTTAATTAGAAATAGTTGGGGACAAAAATGGGGAGATAATGGAAACTTTAAAATAGATATGTATGGACCATCCAACTGTAATGGTGCAGTTTTAGCTGATGCATACCCTCTAAATTTAAAAATGGAAGGCAGTAGAATAGATGTTCAATTACCTAATGATTATGCATCAAAGGATTCCCATAAAAAAAATGATCCTAGACCAAATCCAAACCCATATCCAAGACCTGGTCCTTATCCAGGACCAACACCAAGTCCTAATCCAAATCCATATCCAGGACCAACTCCAAGTCCTAACCCCAATCCATACCCAAGACCTAATCCATATCCAGGACCAACTCCAAGTCCTTACCCTAACCCATACCCAAGACCTAATCCTTATCCAGGACCAACTCCAAATCCCAGTCCATATCCAAGACCAAATCCTAATCCCAGTCCATATCCTAATCCAAATCCATATCCAAGACCAAATCCTAATCCCAGTCCATATCCTAATCCAAGTCCATATCCAAGACCAAATCCTAATCCCAGTCCATATCCTAATCCAAGTCCATATCCAAGACCAAATCCTAATCCCAGTCCATATCCTAATCCAAATCCATATCCAAGACCAAATCCTAATCCAAGTCCATATCCTAATCCAAATCCATATCCAAGACCAAATCCTAATCCCAGTCCATATCCTAATCCAAGTCCATATCCAAGACCAAATCCTAATCCCAGTCCATATCCTAATCCAAGTCCATATCCAAGACCAAATCCTAACCCAAGTCCTTATCCGTTGCCCAGTCCAGCTCCTACACCCAATCCTTATCCATTACCGAGTCCAGCTCCTACACCCAATCCTTACCCATTACCTAGTCCATCTCCTATGCCCGGTCCTTATCCATTTCCTACACCTTTTCCTAGACCTTACATGAGACCATATGGTCATAGATATGCAAGGTATTTTCCATACAGTGGATATTACCCTTATCGTCATTACTATAATAGAGGCTTAGGAAATTCCAGTGATAATTCAGAAATTAATGAGGATGAAAATGGTGAGATATTGGGAATTTATGATCAAGGTAAATTATCTGGTAGTAACTTTGATGATAGTTTATTAGATATTAAACCTGAATCCAGTAACGCTGATAATGAGGGTGTATTACAAAAACATAATATTAGTTCTGATAATTCAGACATTATAACGTTAGATATAGAAACTGAGCTTGATCCTCAGATAGGCACAATAGAAGACTCAACAAACAAAAAAAGTTTAGAACAGAATGAGAAAACCTTTAAAACAGATGTATCTGTTAAAATTAATGGAGTTGAATACAAAAGAACCGTTATATCTAAAAGTAAATGATACTACTTCACGATATAAAAAAATTTAACTAAATTTTATTTTAATTTCTTATATATTCACTTAAATATATTATTATTTTTTTTTTATAGGAAAAGATGAACACAAAGAAATTTATTCATGCTTAAGAACATTTTCTTTGGATCCTACATTTGATTCTTTATGTCGTATAAATTGTGAACTTTTCTTAAATAATTGTAAAGAGTTTTCATCAATTGGTGAATGCTTAAGAGATTATGCACCAGATGATAATTGTATTTATTGTGGAATGTAACTTTATTATATTTGTTAAAATTATAAGCTATGAAATGATGAATAATTTCTTAAAAAGCTATATTTTTTTAGTAGGTGAATAAATATATATAACTTGAATAATAAGATATATTTAATTTATAAGAACGATTTAAATTAAACGATGAATTGCTTGCAATTTTTTTTTTTACTTTTTTTATTTATCATAACATATATATATGTATAAAATAATCAATATTATATATTTTTTCTTGTTAAGTTTATAACTTTTTTTTTGTTAGACTATATATTCATTTATTTATTCATTGATAAATATATACATGTATATATATTTTTAAGTTATTCTTATTTCATTTATATTCTTTTTTTATATTTTTTTCATTTATATTTTATGATACAGTTTCATCTATTGGTATTAACATCTACAAATGCATATATATTTTATTAGTTCCATCAAATGTTTGCTTAAAATAAATGAATACATTAATTTATTAATATTATTATTTATGAAAATAATTTTATTTCGATGTTAATTTTTTATTTTTTCATTAATATATGAATGAATAGTCGTTTATTTAATTTTTTATAATTTTTTCATTGATACAATGAAGTACATATGTATTTGCATAATTTGCTGTAGTTTATTCTAAATAAGCATATTTTTTTTTTCGAAAAATATTAGTACATGCAACCTTCTAAATTTATTCATATTTATATCTAGTAGTTAAATATATTTTAATTGTACATTGGGCAATAATATTATCTTCATGTACTCATTAAATATAAATATATATATTTTTATTTCGTTTTCTTTATATTTGAAAATAATTACATAATTTGAGTATTTTATTTTTCACCTCTTTTATTATAAATTTTTTTATTTCTTTTTTTTCTTATATCATGTGAATATTTTTTTAATTTAAATTATTATAAAAAAAAATTTATTAGCATAACAAAGCATTTGATGAATATTCCTTAAAGTAAATGATGTTTTGGAAAATATTTATTTTTTTTTTTTAAAATTAATGTAAGAAAATTAACATTATAATTTATACCAACCTTTATTGGAATTAGAATCAGTCAAATTAAATTGCATAAAATTAATATACTTTTTTTTTTATTATTATAATTTTTTTTTATTTTATAAAAGAGAAATGTTTATTTTAATACATGAGGAAAAAAGAAGAGTTTGTTAAATTAATTTTTTTTAGACAAGATTAAACTTTAAAAATACAATTATTACAAAAAAAAATTTAAATAAAGGAGAAATTATTTATAATAAATATGTCATTAAAAAAATGAAAATATTATTTTTTAAATTATTTCCATACAATTTTTTATTAAAAAAATAAAAAATCTAACAAAATTACGTGTTTTCTTTTCTTTTTTTATTATAGATTGTAGCTTCTTAAAAATATAGAGAAAATGTTAAAAATAGAATATTATTTATTACTTCTTAATATAAAATTATAAAGGATTATTTACATTAAAATTATTCAGAAGTTATGATATAATAATATCTTAATTATATTTGTGTTAATATTTTAAAACATTGAAATAGCATTTTTTTTAATTATACAATATTTTTTTTGTTTCTATATACCATTTAAAAGCATTTTTAGTTCATTTATTTTGAGTATAAGATTAAAACATATATGATTTCAAAAAAGAACTCTCAGAGTTTTTTTATATTAAGTATAAACATTAATTTTTTTTTTTTTTTTTTTCAAAGATATTAATTATTTTTAGTTAGATATGTAAATTTTTAGTATGTATAATGTTTTTTATAAGGAATAAAAAAAAAATTAGAAAAAACTTATTTTACATTTTATTTTATATTTGTTAGAATAATTACATGAACTTATGATGATATTAATTATTAATTTATTTTTTCATTAACTTTAGGCAAATAATGAATAATCAAATAAATGAAGAGTACGTAGAATAATTTCTATTTTATTACTTAGAATTAACTTTAAAAAAACTTATATATATATATAAGGTGGTTAAATATAAAATATGATATAATTATTTTATTTCATATAACTTTTGAAACCTGACAATGAAATATATTTTTAATTTTTTTTTATTATTCCTTTATATTCTAATTATTAAATAAAAGTTTATAAAAAAAAAATAAAATTCTTAAAAACTCTCAATTTTTTTTGATGATATTTTTAAATATTATCATTGAAAAATGTATAAGAAGATCCATCAAAAATTATAAATTTATAAATTGTATCACAGTTTTTTCCTCTTAATTCTCATTCCTTAAAAAAAAAGATATAATTATAAAAAAATAGTTAAATATTGAGACAATAAAGGAATTTTCTCTTAAAAGCAAAATTTAAATGCACTATAATAAAAAAGTGTCTTAAAAAAGATTTATATATATATTAGCAAATGTTTCGTGTGTATAATTATATATCTACCTATTTTAAATTTTTGTTTTGCATTAAGAAAGATCAATAATAATGTTTAATGACGATGATGAAATATTGTAAAAATTAAAATTTTCTGTTTGAACTATTTTAGATATATAGAAGATTATTTATATATAATATGCATAATTATTCTCTTCAATACCTATGTATTCTTCGGTAGAAACATAAAAGTGTTAATGTTTGACTTATTAACTTAATGTTTAATCATTTTTATAGTATTCAACAAACTGTTTTATAAAAAGCATGCAGAGAAATATATACATATTTTGCTTATTATAATATTAATTATTAAATGATAATAATTCACTTATAAATAATTGGTTAATAAAATTCATTATTAACATTTCTGAGAATAAAAATAGATGTATGTAAAATAAATAGTTAGTGATTCAAGCGTTAGATTAAAAAAAAAAAAAAAAGAATTAGTTGTTAATTTTAATGATTTTTTTTTTTGGTTAAAAAAAAAAGAAAGAATCTTTGATAAAGAGTTTCTGGTGGTATATTTTGTTTAAATTTATATAAGTTTTTGCATTAATGATAATAAAATTTTCGTGCTTTGTAATAATTATATAATTTATTTTGTATTCATTTAAATATTTATGTTTATTAATTTAAGATAAATGTATTTGAATTGCTAAAACTTACTCATAGCATTATAAATAAAATATATCCAATTAAAACCAATAATTAATAAGGAGTTATATTTTTAATAAAAATAGTGATTTTTATTAAAGTAAATAAATGTCTCTTAAAAATAATAAATCTTCAATTAAGTAGATATATATATAAAGTAGTTTACTGATTTATAGAATTTAAATTATACATAAATTCATTAAAATAGTGGAGTCAACTCTATATGTCCTTTATTAGTATGTTTTTTCAATACTATAGAAAAGTTATTGAATAGGTAATTAATAAGTCAACTATACCATTTAATTTATCGAAGAATTCATTTTGAATTAAAACACTTTTTTTTATTATATTTATATGATTTTTATTAATTAATTATTTAATATCGATTCTATCATTTATGTTAAACTTGAATCAATATACACACTACTTAATTAACACTATATATAACAATGTGACGTCTTTTTGCACATCACCATATACTTTATGCAAAAATTAAATAATTTTCTCTCATTAGAAAAAAATATTATAAAAAAAAACTATACTTTTATGATTTAAAAAAAAAAAAAATATATGTAATACAATGTACATACTTGGTTAATAGAAGGCTTTATTAACCTTTTTGGAAATAAAAAGGACTAGCTATATGAAGAATACGTAGTTATGCTCACGCAAATAAAAAAAAAAAAAAGACACAAAAAAATATATTTATTTTTTTTTTAAAGAAAAAAAATACGTGGAGAAAAAATGGTTAAAAATTAATTGGAAAAAGATTTGTTATTGATTTATTAACTGGGTGTTCGGGGACTTTACTAAAGTACTGAACAAACCAATTAATAAAGAGCATGTAGAGATGTCTCTATTATTTTTTTATATTTATATATATTTTTAGTTGCTTTGAACGAGTGATCTTTAATTATAATCTACTTCGTTCAGCATTCTTTTATTTCAAAAGGTATTTATTTATTTTAATAAAAATCCTTATTTTTATTAAAAATTTAAATACTTATTTAACTTTAATTATTAATTATAATTACTTGTTTATTTGTTATGAGTTATATTTAGCAATTATTTTATATTGCTGTTGAATTAACAAACACAAATAATTATTAACAAAAACAAAATAAATTATATAAATATTAATTACATGAAAATTTTATTGTTATATGTATAAAATTTTCTTTTACAAAATTCATCATAAAAATATTTCATCTTATTCCTCACTTCCCCAAAAAAAAATCTTTTTTTTTTTTTTTTATTTTATTTTTTTATATTTTAAAAAATTGATTTTTTTTTAATCAATTTTTTTCCTGACTATTTTTACATTTTTTTATCAAATATTTTTTTCCTGACAGTCTTTGTACTTTCTTTTTAAAAAGTACAAACAAAAAAAAATCATCAATTTTTTTTATTTTTGTGTGTGTATGCATGACCAACTTCGTATATTTCATTTAACTAGTCCTTTTATTTTCCAAAAAGGTTAATGAAGCCTTTTATTAACCAATTATCAATAAGAATGAGATATTAAACATACAAAAGATATTTACATAGTATTTATATTTTTAATTTGTAAGAGAAAATTTTATACATATAATAATAAAATTTTCACGTAATTAATATTCATATAATTAATTTGCATTTTTACTAATTGTTTATGTTTGTTAATTCAACGGCAATATATTTAAATTGCTGGACATAAATCATAAAAAAGAAATAAGTAATATACATTTAATTAATCATCTATATTCAATGAGGATATAAATTTTTAATAAAATTAAAGATTTTTATTAAAGTAAATAAATGCTCATGGAAATTAAAGAATACTGAATGAAGTAGATTACATAATTAAGCATCACTTGTTCAAAGCATTTAAAAATATATATAAATACATCAAAACCGTAGAGGAAACTCTACATGCTCTTTATTAATTTGTTTGTTCAGTACTATAGTAAAGTCACCGAACACCCAGTTAATAAATCAGTTATACATAGATATTATTCAAAAAAAATATAAACTTGCATCTTTTCATAAAATATTACTTCAAAAAAAAAAAAAAAGTAGAATGAATTAAAAAACATTTTAAAATTATCTAATTAATATTTACTTATTAATATATATATAATTAATCTTATCTAATTGAGATAATTCTAGATACCTATATAATTCATACTTTTGAATTTTACGTATTTTCACGTGACTTTTTCTTTTGTTAATATAATTCTATAAATAAAGAATAGGATAACAACTTTTTTATTAATCATTACAACTAATTTTTTTACTAATTTCATTTATTTATTTTAATAAGTTTTAATTGCATTCTCTATAAAATCTGTATAATTTAATTTGACGATGTAAATCCTAATTTTTTAGAAAATTTATTGTCAAGTAATTAAAAATTGATTCTCTATTGGAATCTGGAATATTAGGTATGCTCATATTTATATATTTTGAATACTCTTATTTTTCATCTAATCGTATGTTTGTACACTTTACATACCTTTTACTTTTATTAAACATTCTCTTACTTTTTTTGTTATAGTCTTATTTTCATTTTTATTACAATTCAAAAATTTATGCTAATTGTTTTATTACATTTACCATCCTTTTTATTTTCTTCTTATATGTATTTTTTTTCTTTTCGATTTTACCTTGTTTTTTATTCTAATTCATCACCTCTACTAATTTTAAGTAAAAGTGAAAAATTATAAAAAAATTACATGCAAAATGTTTTTTTAAAGAACTAAATGAACCAGTATAATAAACATAATAAAACATAAAAAGCATGTATTAAAAAAAAAAGAACAAATGATCTATAATAAATTTTGCGAATAAATAATATATTTTATTAAAAAAATATTATATAAATTTCTAGAATTTACCTAAATTTTATAACTATTACATATATACTCTAATAAAAATAAAAAGATATTCTGAAAGTTACCTTTATTAACACAATAAAAAATTTCACTTTTTTTTTTTTAAAACGTTAAATTATCATTTTTATAAAATAAAATGTTTCTAACAATTTTATTTGTTATAATATAAATAAATAAAAATAAATCAAAGACATTTATTTCTGTGTGACGTTGTAATTATACATTAATTATGTATTTTTCCCATATGAAACTAGTATATTTGTGCTATAACCATTTCATTTATTCAGAAAGAATATATATATAAAATATACTTATTTGAGTATTATAAATTCATAAATTTCTTATTATCATTATATCTTTTTTAAATGTAACTGTTCTTTTGCTAGAAACTATAATTTCAATATCACAACTAAATAATAATCAGGAAAAATTGAAATGATTATTAAAAATAATTATTAATATATATATATTTATGCATTTAAATTTTTATATATATGTTTCTATTAAATATATATTAAAAAACTTATTTTAAAAATAATTTCTAAAATTTTTTATTATAAATATGAATCCGAATAAATACTAAAAAATATATACACCAATTGCAAATTTATATATATTAAGATAATTTCTTCAAAATTTTGATTTTTATATAACAAGACATTAATTAATATTTAGAATAATTTTCAAATAAATTATAGAAAAGGATATATATATTTATTTTATAACGAAAAAGTCTATCTTCTTTTAGATATATATGGTATTAATTTTCTTCAAATGCTTTAATTAACAATGCTGTTAATATTTTAACTATTATACTCTTCTTAGTTTTCATGGATACTTTCTTATATGTTTTTTAATTTAATAATATTTTGTTTATTTTTTTTTTTTTTTTTTTTTTTTTTTTTTGTTTTAGCCTTTAAAGGATTTAATTACATTTTCACAAGCATTTTAAATAAATTATTTTCTTTTTTATTTTTTTAAAAACTTTAAAATGTTTTTCTTCTTTCTATATTCATCTTTCTACGCCTTTAATAAAATTATTTTTATTCACATAACTTATAAAATATTTATATAGTGATATATATTTTAATAAAAATTTGTTACAGCATAATTTTATTATATTGGAAATTTTCAATACTTGATTAATAGTTCACTTTAATTGATTATTTCAAAGGAATAATATTATAGAAGCTTTTTTTATATATTTTGAACTTATCTTTTTGATGTACTTTAATTTACTTATAAATGTATAATTCGCCATTCTTATGTTATCAGAAAAATTAACCTTTATATATAATAAAAAAATTAAATATTTTACAAAAAAAAAAAAAAAGAAATCTCAATTTTATTTTATGAAGTACTTATATGTTCTCTTTAAATATAGAATTTCTTTGAAATTCAAACATATGAATTTAAACTATAATAATTTTAACATATATTTTTAAAAATAAAATTATAGTATATGTAAAATGTGTCATGAAAAATCTTTTTTACCTTTTAATTTTTTTAATCTTTTAATAATTAAAAAATAAAAAAAAAATTTAAACATTTTTTCCCATTTCTTATCTTTTCAAAAATGTCTAGTTTGTAATATGAGCATTATGTTAAATGTTATAAACTATTATTAAAAATTTATTTTTAAAGTAAATCTTATTAAATCCTCCTCTCTCAATCAATTGCGTTAATCAAATAAATATAAATAATTAATATAATCATTTGAAATCTAATTATATAATTTATAAACTTATTAATTCTTTCTTCAAATAGAAATAAAATATTTTGTTTTAGCTAGATTATTTTATTAAATAGATTTATAATGAAAAATAATCAAGTAATATATATCGTCTTTATTATTATATAGATTCTTATTTCATATATATTTTTTTTTATTTATTAAAGTATTAATATTGATTTTATAATTGTTAATTTTATCATAATCATAAATGCTTCATCGTAATATGTTTTATATATAATATAAACATCTTTATTTTGTTTCTTTTTTTCCTTTTCATGTTTATAGTCACATTTTGTATATATGAAGGAATAAATGTATATAAAATTTTGATTTTAAAATTTCTAATTTCATATTTCTGCTATTTAAAGAATAAGTAATTATCTATTTTATTATTATTAGAACTACAAAAAAATAATCATTCTTTATTTTTAATTTTATATTCTTTATTAGTTTAATTATATTTGTAAATTAAATTTTTATTTGTTTTATTTATAAGATTTAAGTACATATTTTCATAATAAATGTTTTTTAATTTTTTGCTTTTCTAATTTTTTTTTGCTGTTTATGAATTTTTTTTTTTTGGAATATATTTAAAAGAACATATTTATTTTTTATATTTTTGCATGTTTTTAATATTTGGAAAAAATAGCATGCAGTTTTTTTTTCCTAATGGTTATCTAAATAACTGTTTTTGTTTTTATTTTAAATAAAGAAAAAAAAATTTTTTAATTAAAGTAGTTGTATAAACTATATATTTTAATATTTTTCATTTATATGGTAATATTTATATAATATAGGTAGTTCTTTAATTTTTATATTTATATTTTTTCTAGGTTTTCTAATAAATCATGTTTTGAATATTCACTTCTTTTTCATATCTTTTTAATAGTATATTTTTCTTTTATCACAATATATGTATAAAGATTTATATTTTTTTATTAGTAAATAATATATTTTTTTTTCATTCTAATAAGTTATGTTAATTTAGTTGTATAGTTGTAACTATTAATCTATTTAAAAAATTTGAACATGGAAGGGAACAAGTATCCTAAAGAAAATATAAGATTAGTTTTAGAAGATGATAAAGCTATTAGTGGTAATACTTCTGACCCTTTCTTTATTACTAATCTTAGCCCATTTCCCTCATCTTCTACAGCAGAAATGCAACAAAGTGATAGCGGAGTTATTCCTATATACCAAACTAGCAACTTGACAGCTGAGGAGAATCCCCTTTTAATGAATGCATTAGCAATTTTGGTTCTTTTACTAAATATGTTCACAATTAAATATAAAAGGAAAGTAATTAACAGAACACCCTTTAAAACTATTGGAGATCTAAAAGTAGAAATTGTAGAAGATATTCAAACATTAAGTTTAACTCCAAAAGAAAACCCATTAGAATCAGATCCACAATCAACAGAAAACGAAGATGGAGAAGGTGATAATTTCTTCCAAGAAAGTGATGATAATTATAGTGAAACAGGTGACATGAGCGTTATGGAGTAAATAACATTGAAAGAAAATATTAGTTTATATTAACTTTTTGAAAAAATAGAATTACGACTGAAGTAAAGAAAAAATAAAATATGTAGAAATCTAAGTATAGAAATGAGATATAAAAGAAAATTGACATTTTTATATAATATCTAAAAGTATATATGTTGCATAAAGGAGCATAAAAATACAATTTTTTATTACCGTTAGATTATTCAATGTAGCTGTTATTTCTTTTTCCTACCGTTACATGAACAATCCAATCTTTCATAATTTATAGGATGATATTACTTATTTATAAAACTTAAATTATATGATTTATAAAATAATTAAAATTATTTTTGTATAGTATTAAAAAATTAAAGAAACTTAGAAGAAAAAGTTAATTTAGTGTTATAGATTTTTTAAAATAAAAAGAAATTATAAAATAATATTTGCTAATTTCCTTCTTATATTGACATAATACTAAATAATTTACGAAAATGTATTAAGAAGATTAATATTCTCGAAAAAATTCTAAACTTTATATTTGCTGTACATTTTTATGAGCTTTAAAAATATTAATGCATTTATTAACCATTATTATTTAAAATAAAAAAAAAAAAACGGATGCAATCTTGCTTTAGAAGTTTTCTGAAACAAACAAAATATGTAAACGTTTTATAATTTTTGAGGAGTTTAAATGTATAAAAGAAAGCAAACATATATAATATATTCTATGTTTTTTTTATTTAATATAAATTTATTTTAAAAAAATCCAAGAACCTTTAAAAGTTAAAGATGTCATTAAAGAGAATTTTTATTTAAGATAGAGGAAAATATAAAAGATAAAGAATTTTATATAAATATATATATAACAGAAAAGTAATTTTTGTTCATACTAAATATATAATTATATATATATATGTACTAAAAATGAGTTGTACTGATTAAAGTTAACCAGAGTGTAATATGAATTTTTAAAAGTTTAATTAAATCTGATATTATTTACGTGAGAATTGTCGTTATATTTTATTTTTTTTTTCTTTTATATATATAAAAGATATATCTATGTGTTTTCAAAAAATATGTGTAATATTATTTAAATAAAAATATATTTGAGATAATATAGAGATTCTTATTTCTAAATATTTAGAAGAACATTTTTAAAAATATTATTAAAAAAAAACATTCGTAAAATATATTCTTGCAATGCATTTTATAAAATAAAATTTTTATTTCATAGGAATAGTCAATTACATATACAAATAATTAATAAAGAAAATAAAAACCATTATCTTTTTAAATTTTATTCCTATTATTTTGATACATTATGATATTAAAGGTACTTTATTTAAAAATTTTTCTATTATACAAACTTCATTAAATACAACAAACAAAAGGAACTGTTATTTATATATATTTCTATTATTTTTATTAAAAAAAAAAAATAAAAATTCACATAGATTTTAAATAAACATGATGATTGAAGTTAAAATGATAAAAATAACTAATATAAAAATAAAATAACAAAAAACAAAAATGTTGAAATAAACTCTGATTAATTGGAGTAAATTGAAAAAATAAAGGTAAAAAAAATTTATTTTTATAAATCATTATTAATATTTTCTTATTGATAAAACTTTTTCATTTTTCATTTATAATTACAAGTTCTACGTATAATACTATTATTATGAATATTAAATTAAAAATATAAATTTTTTTAAAGAATATTATATACTTTAAAAAAATAAAACTTCTGTAACTATTAATTTAACATTTCCCAATAGAATTTTTTATATTCATTTATTCTTAAAAAAATGAGTTATTTTTATTTTTACTTAAGATAGCAACAAATTAGAAAATCAAAAATAATAAAGTAAAACATTAATTTTTACCTTTCATAAGAAAATTTCTTCAAGATTTGTTTCATGAATTTAAAGTGAAAAATACAAAAAAAAAAAAATTATATACACAAATATAAAAATGAAAAAATATAACTGTGATAAATATTGGTTTTATCATTGTCATTAATAAATGGAAAATAAAAAACTAAAAATTTTTCTTATAAAAAAATCTGAAAGATTATAAGGTAAATTATCTCAATTAGAATTTAAAAAAATATTTATTCTTTTAAAAGCTAATTTTTAATTACTATAAAATTTTAAATATATGTTGAATTTTTTTTTGAATTATTAAAAATTTGGAACGTACAGAATATAATAAAAAAATTTTTTTTTTTATGCGTTTTTTTAATATATTAACTGCATAGAAAATCTAAATTTACCTGAAGTTATTTTTTTATTAAAATATTTTTTTAATTTTTTTATAAATTTTTTTCTAGATTTATAATATAAATGAATATTTTATATTTTTGAAATTATTTAAAATTATATATAAATCTATTAAAATAAATTTTTTCTAATGTTTAAATATTATATTTAAAGAAAAATTAGTGAAAAAGAAAGTTTATTAAGGTATATCACTTCTTACCATCTAATATTGATGAATTAATATTCAGTCGATATAATTTATTTATATTATAAAATTTTTTTTATAGGGGTTTTATTAATTTCATGCTTAAATATTTTTGTAGAGCACTGAAAAAGCAATTTAGTTGTAAAGCGCATACATATGAAGCCCTACCTATTTTGTTTATTATAAAATTACTTTTTATATTAAATGAAAAAAATAAGTTATGTTTCATATTAATTATATTAATGCAAGTTTTATATAATTATATTAATCTACATAGAATAAATGGTTTTATTTATTTAGATATATAACTCTCTATATATAAATATTCTAAAATATTTTTATTATCTTATAATGGATAACTTATTCTACATCTATTTATATAGTTTGAAAAAAGTTCATTTTTCTTTAAACTTAAATCTTCCGTAAAATAAAACTTTTGTTCAAATTTAACATAATTTTTTCTTTAAAAATTTATTGTTCATCTTAACAATAAATTATCATCTAAAATAAAATGATTTATTCTTACAACGAATAAAATATTTATTTAAGTTTTTTTTTCAAATTTTTTTCATGAAAAAAATGTTTTTTCGAACTTTTTTTTTTCTTAAATATTTTCGAAAGACAGTTAAAGTATCCCCTTAAATTTTTTCTTTGGATAGATATCTCACTAGTTAGAATTTTTCTTAACCTCTTAAAATATTATAATAAATAAAATAAATATAATATAAATATATTATCGTAAGATATTTAAAAAGTATTACAACTAAGAACATTATTGTATAATTATAAAAAAAAAATTATTTTTTTTTCATTTTTCATTTTATTATATTTTTAATTATATTTTATGAATATTATATTTTTTTTTTTAAAAAAAAAAAAAAAAAAAAATATTCTAATTTTTTTACAACAGTTAATTTTATTTAAGAGGGATTTTTTTACAAAAAATTATTAGTTTGGAGGGAATATATAATTTTTTAAATATAATTAAAAGTTTTTTTATATTAATATTTTAGCATTAGAAAAAGTTAACATTTTCATAAAATTAGATAAAAACCTTTATAAAATAAGTAGTATATTAAGAACAAAAAAAAATTTTAATATACTTTTATTTAAAGGTTGTATATCTTATATGCAAATAATCTATATATATATCATGATTCATAATATAACAACATCATATACACGTATTCATTAGAAAGGTATTTTTATGATCAACAAAATTAGTAGAAACTACTCTACGTGATCTTTATTAATTAGCTTATTCACTAATCTACAAAAATATTGAAGCAAAGAATCAATGAATAATTCTTTAATCTCATTTATATTGGTTCAGGTATTTAAAAAGATTGTTATTACTTTTTATTAACAATAAATTAATTTAATCGTTAGTTATAATCCTTTCTTCTCATAAGTTATATTATATTTTTATATAAATTTATTCCAAAAAAAAGATGAATTAAATTCTCAAAACCTATAAAATTTTGAATAAAAATAAAATAAAAAAAAGGTAAAATATACTTTCTAGTAAAACGAAATAGTTCAATAAACAAACAAAATTTTCAAAAAGTATTAAGAAAAAAAAGAATAATTATTTACACGCCTTATAACACTTTTAACTTTGTTATTAGGTATTTTCTTAAATACCATGAATATATAGATATATCGATACTTCATATGGTTTTACTGATTAAAGTATACAAAAAGGATAATAATAACTTTTATCAAATAAAAAAAAACAAAACATGAAATTTTTTATAGTAAAAATTACATTTTTAATTTAATTTTTAGATAACTATGAAAAACTTCTCATTTTAACATTCTATAACTTTAGAACTATTGTAAAATAAAACAATAATATTTTACAATCCCTTTGACGAAATGTAAATTTTTGTATTTCTTCTGTTAATTTCAATAATATGCAACTGAAGACTAATATATGTCTCAAAATTTATCTTTTAAAATTATAATGGATTTAAGTTACCTTAGATCTACGGTAAAACCAATTAAATTTTTAATATTAGAAGAATTCGTGAAAACTTTTACTGATATCATTAATTAGAATTTACACATAAATGATTTTTTTATTTTTTAAATATTTATATTGTGAGATGTATTTTTGTTTGGTTTCTTTTAATATTAAAAAAAAACATGTTAGGTAAATGTATATTTATTAATTCAATTAATTTTTAATGATAGGGATATTTTAGATAAATCAGTAAATAGTATTTTCCAGACAATTATATAATAATATGGATTATTTTAATTTAAATATTATACATAGTTTATGTAAATAAAAGAGATACTTTAAAGAAGAAAAGTGTAATAATAAAATAAATTTACAATATCAAATATTTAAATGTCTTACAGTTATGCATAATCATATGCTAACTTTTAGGTTTAACATATTAAATAAATCTTTATGCAGCATTATAATTCTAGAATAAAAATAATTTTAAAAAGTTTTAATTTAATACAATTATATTACTTTATTCTATATATTATTACAGAATTATACTTATATATATATAAAATAATAATTAAATTAGGTATAAATT